CCCACACCCCAAATTACTCCATATTACCCCCACTATACACATAATCTCATACCCCATATACCACATTCCCAACATTAACCACCATACTCCCACATTTCACCACACTCTACACTTTACCCCACACCCCACATTACCCCACACTAAACAATCCACACTCTGAACTCAATACCCCAACACATCATTACATCTATAAGTACTCACTGATTACATCAATTTCATCTAAACCATCTTTAACAACACGGCCAATCATTTCAACCAGTTCTATAATCAAACATTCTACACCGGTTAACCAGTAGAGTAAACAAACATTTGCAGGTAAATCTTACATAATTAGTCAGGGCAGTTAAACTAATCATGGAATAAACCAATATGGGGCACAAAGGAAAATTATTATATGGCTAAATGTACATGGGTGATATGGGTACATAATCACACCCATACAGGTGAGCTGATTACATAACCACACAAATACGGTGTTTATTACATAACTACACATATACATGGGTGAAATGGTTACATAATCACGCCTATACAGGTGAGCTGATTACATAACCACACATACATAGGTGTATTAATTACATAACTACACATATACAGATGTGTTAATTACATAACCACACATATATAGGGTATTAATTACATAACCCCACATATAGGTAAGCTGATTACATAACTGCACATATATAAATGAGGTAATTACATAACCACACATATACAGATGCACTGGTTACATAACTACACATACAGGCACGCTGATTACATAACTAGTCATTTACAGTTACACTGATTACATAACTGCCTGTAACCAGGTGTGCCACTTACATAATAATTCATACAAGTGTTCTAACTACACAACCACACATATACATAGGTATACAAGCCAAAAACAAATCAAACCAAAACTACAGCTAACTCTAAGACCAAACTTGAATTATTGGCAAAAATCTTTCTGCACTCTAGTCAATGGCTAACTAGCACACAGCAACACTCAACTATCAACTAGCTAGTGATTTATCATGGTACTATGTTAACAAAATATCATGGGAATTAATATGTATGGGTAAGTTAACATCATGAGGTACACAGCTATAAACTATTTTAACACACACAAAAAACAGATTTTTAACAAAATGAAATCTCCCTGAATCATGATAAGGTACTCAGCTGTTGATTATTTAAAAAAAAAAGATTTTTAACACAATAAAATCTCCCTGAATCACTATAAGGTACCTCCCAACTAATTAACTATTTAGCAACCCACACAATATATGCCAGGTAGTGATACACTGCAGTTGGTATTGAGATAGTGATATATCAAGTCTACATAGGTATGTTAACATTGCGAGTAGTGAATGTTAACATCAGGGGATATACAACTGATGGTGTTATGTTAACAAAAAATGGGACTGTTAACATTGAGTTGTGAATGTTAGCATCATGTGGTATACAGATGGTGTTATGTTAACAAAAAAATGGGACTGTTAACAACAAGAGTAGTCAATGTTAACTTAATGAGGTATGCAGCTTATGGTGCTTATAACAAAAGATAAACACTGAAGTGTTGAAGTTACTTCATTATGTTTTCACTATAGTGTACTATCAGGCAGCTATGATGAATACTAACTTCAGTTTACCAAGTTATTTATTTTATGTTTATATCTATATCACACAGAGCCACAGCTATAAACAAATGTAATATATGTTATACTATATATACATATACATATACATATACATATATATATATATATATATATATACATATACATATATATATATATATATATATATATATATATATATATATATATATATATATATATATATATATATATATATATATATATATATATCACAAAATTCACTATAAAAATAATTGCAATTACAAAACTAACTAATAAAAAACATACTCACAGATAAAATATTACTCCTTTGTGTCTAGGTAAAGTTACAGTTTTAATACAAGTTATCTGTATCTTGTAAACATTCTAATAAATATGGGAAATGTTAAGCCCTCTGTAACTTTTTTGTGGAATTTACTCATTCCTTTCACCATTCTAGCAAAAAATGGTACAACTTAACCATTTTCAGCATTGTAGAATACATTGAAGGACCACATAAGTATTTTAAGTAAGACAGGGTTAAAGCATTTATTTTATCAATCTTCAAAGTTGATAAATTAGGTTGTTTTTTTCTTGTCACTGATGAGTTTTACATTTATAAAGTTATTTTGTGTAAGGAATTTTTATACATGTAAATTATGCAGGAGATATATATCATACAAGAGTAATATTCTATTCAAACAAATTTAGCTAGGAAAATATTCTAGCAATAAATATAATTGCCAGATAGTAATTAACTCATGATACATTTAGTGACAGAATTGGAGTTGACAATTAAAAATTGATCAGTTTAAGAATTATTAAAGTGCACTTTTCTTGGGTAAATTAATTAATCAATCAATTAAACAATGAATCATCAATCAAACAATCAAAACATTAGTGATTTCAAGATCATGTTGGACTACAAAATACATTATTGAACATAACTATAATACAACAATTGTTTAAGAATGGAATACATTTTAATTCTCAACTGATAATACAGCTTTGTTTCTATTTTTAACTATCACAGGTAGGAAAAAGGCCTAATACTTTAAAATTAATTCTTTCATTAATTTGTTTATATTTTATAGTTAAATATAAGGTTTAAAAAAAATAGGGTTTGTTTTGTTTCTGTTAGGTAAAGTGGGTTATGTTTCACACAAAATTTGTCTTGTGCCACAAAGAATGTAATCTTTTTAAAAAAGGGGGGTGTCAGGTTTTGGACTAGGATAAGACTAGGAATGCTAAGGTAACTCTGACATGAAGTGAGAACATTTGACCAAGTAATGTTGACATTTGAAGGAGACACCACATCCATATATTCATCAGCTTGAATATTTCTAGTGCTATAAAATGTATTTAATAAAATCAAATGGTTCAGCCCTTTAAATCAAGCTTTTTTTAAAGATGGCATTGAATAATAAGGGGGTTGATGGTGTCATGAATAAACCGTATATTGGAGACAGAGTAGCAACATTTGTATATAACTGTTGGTGCTAGAATGATACTTAATTTTACATTTATTGTTTTAAATTTTACAGAGAATTCTTAAATATATTTTACCTTTAATTATTTAATCTATTTCCCTGTGTTATTACGCGCAATCAGGTCAAACTGAGTTCACCTAATCTATTTCTTACTTCAGGTTAAGATATGCTAGAAACAGTGACGTATGACGTTACCGTATAAATTACTGATTATGCCAGATTAGGAATAACTGTTTCCACGTCATAGATAGAAATAGCTTGGACATGACGAATCATAAATAAATTGAGGAGAAAAATATTTTAATATTAAAAATATTACTATTGCATTGTTTTTTTTTTAATAAATCAACATCACCACTTATCACAAAAATAAAAAGTAAAAAAAATAATGTTTTAACCGGGTTTAAATTTTATAAGTTAAATTCAACTAAAAAAAACATAAATGTTTGGCATTAGCATGTAAAACACAATCAATCCAAACAGAGAATACAGAAAAAAATAAGTGGAAAAATAAACAAACACAACATAAGCAATCAGCAGTTTCAATCAATGAGTATCTTTATACATACAATTTTTAACTAGAATACCTGAGTTTTTTACTTTTATTTCTAACCATCTTAAACAAAGCCTAAGAAACTGTTGACTAATAGCTAGTTTATTTCTACTAGATCCAGTCGTGATTAATTTTTATTGGGAAATAAAATAACTTTAGAACAGCCCAATGTGTTCTGAGTGTAAACAGAAGTTAGCGCAAGTGAATTTTGAGTCTCCATCACAATAATAAAGCAGTTCTCATGTGATTATAAATATCTGTATAATTAACAAGTTTTTAAATGTAATAAAAATTAGGAAAAAAATTACTGTTCATTACTATTTAAAACAGAAGTGAAGGCTCCTCAGGAAATCTTTTTAATAATTGTTGTAAGCCACACATAGATAATTTGCAATAATAAAAAAAGAAAATTTAAAAGTAAAATATAAAAATAAATCTAAAAGCTTAATTTATTTTAAATATTTGTATACTAGTTTTATTTTCTACTTTTAAGTATTAGATACTGTATAGATGTTAGAGTAATTTGATACTAAGGTTTTAAAAACAATTAGATCTAGTACTATATTTATTTATTCTTCCCCTTGCCAGCTGTTCAGTGTATGAACTCCTTCATAACTTACAAAGGTTTGCTTTATACCCTATCAACTTAATGTCGCAATTATTCTTTTATAAAAAAAATCTCTCCATAATAGTTCCATTATCTTATTCAGTAGCCTTAATGTACACATTCATTTTCAATATCTGCTCACTTCAACAGATTTTTCTACCTAGTTATCTCCCCTTTAAATTAAGTCTCAATGAATAATTTTATGAAATTATTTTTTATATGATATTCTAGCATTGTAATTGGAAATTACTTTTCTTGGTTAAGACCGAGCTTGGTTTTCCAATGTTCATTTATTGTTTTAACTATTCAAATTTTCGTTTTACAACATTTTAAAAACCAAAGTTAGAAACTTCAGGTGAAAATATTAGAGATAAAGAAAAAAGTATTCTATATCAATGCTGGAAGAATTGTGAATATAGTGGAAGAAAGTTTTCTTATATCTAACTTGTGCTATATCAATGCAGAACAAATTGTGAAAATAGTGAAGATAGGAAAAATGTAAGGTACTCTACATCCGTGCTGCAGAATTATTTAATGTGATTTAATTTAACACATTAACATAAATATGTGAAGTTGTACACTATACAAAAAATAGACATGTTAATATTTCTTTGCACGAAAAGTAACAATTAAATATTGTAAAAAAAAACTTTTGCAAACCTCTGTAGACAATGATTTAACCTTATTAATTTTAATAAATTCTAAAATTCTCCTTTCCATACTGAAGCAAATATTTTACCGTGTTTGAATACATTCTAAATATATACATGCAGCTGTTAATACTTACGTTATTTTAATACAACTACTAGGGACTAGGATGACAGTGAATTATTTAAACATTACCATCTGGTTAAAAAACAAACTTATTAAAACTAGTTTTATGGTTTATAAAGGCACTCATATTCAAATAGATCAGAATAATTAAAATGTACTTAAGATTTCCAATACACAAGTTTCAGAGCAGTAAATTCTATGAAGTATTTTTTAATGAAACCTGAAATATCTAATATCAGCTTTGTAATATTTTACCAGTTGATTATTTTAAGTGTGAAAAAAGTATCAAAAGTCCATTTATATTAAAAATTATATTAATGATATTTATTTTCCTCTTAAAAACTTAGTCAACATGCACAGAAAAAGACCATATTTTGTTTTCTGTTTCTCTAAATTTTCTTAAAATAAGTTCTTCTTCATCTCTCACTTATATTAAAAAATACACAACACAGGACATTAAACCCATGTGGGGAAAAAAGAAATCTTCCTAAATACATTTCAACTTTATTAACACCATTTTGTGTTGGCCAAATCCTTGTAATTAAAAATAATTTTCAATCGTAGGTTTTGAAACATTTTAAATAAGTACTTTTCTTAAAACAGAAAAACATGTATGTGACTTGATTTTTGTTTTTTAAAAAGTTTTGTTTTTCTCTCTTTTCCCTTTCAGCTTGTAGATTTCATCAAATAACTACAACAAGGTAGTTTTTTTAACGATTGTTTACAAATTGAAATTTACATCACTTGAGATGTTATAAACTACTTGTATTTGTTAATCACCAGTTTAGTTTTTCAACAGCAGTAATTTTTTTTTTTATTTGCCTTTAATTTTTTTTAATGTAAAAGATAAATTTATGTTCTTCTGCAAAAACTGTATATCTTTCATTTTAATAAGTTTTTAAGCTCTTTCCTTAAAGCAATATTTACATTTTTTAAATGTAGATCATATGTTGGAAAAAAAAAAGTAAATAAAATGTACAAGAACTCAAAAAAATGTCAACAGATTCTTTCAACTATTAAAAAATATTTTTATTTTATGACTATAGCAATAGACTATTCATAATACTGTTGCTAGCTCATCCAACTAATGAATGAGTTTGTGCAAAAAACTTTGGGTATCTATTTGTAAGTTCCTTCTTTTACTCTTCATTAAATTATTCTTTTAAACAGCACTCATCATTTCTGTCAAAGTAGACTAGCTTGTAAAACTATTCATCTATTTAACAATGCCCATTAGTAAGTCCACTTAGGCTAGTTTGTAAAATTAATCATCTGTTTAATAATGTTCATTAATTATGTCCACCTTGGTTAGTTAGTAAGTCCACTTAAGCTAGTTTGTAAAATTAATCATGTTTAATAACAGTGCTCATTAATTATGTCCACCTAGGCTAGTGTGTAAAACTAATAATCTGATTAACATTGCTCATTTATAAATTCAATCTAGGCTAGTTTATAAAACTAATTATCTGTTTAACAATGCTCATTAATTAATTCAACCTAGGTTACTGTGTAAAACTAATTATCTGTTTATCAGCACTCATTAACAAGTCCCAACTAGGCTAGTGTTTTATCTGTTTAACATTGCTTGTTAATTAATTCAACCTAGGCTAGTTTATAAAACTAATTATCTGTTTATCAACACTCATTAATACGTCCCAACTAGGCTAGTGTGTAAAACTAATTATCTGTTTAACAATGCTCATTAATTAATTCAACCTAAGCTAGTTTGTAAAACTAATTATCTGTTTATCAACACTCATTAATATGTCCCAACTAGGCTAGTGTGTAAAACTAATTATCTGTTTAACAATGCTCATTAATTAATTCAACCTAGGCTAGTTTGTAAAACTAATTATCTGTTTATCAGCACTCATTGACAAGTCCCAACTAGGCTAGTGTTTACAGTTGTATACAGTTGAAATCACAAATATCACATGACAATCAGTTTTCTATACACACGGGGATATTTTTATCAAAACCGTCTAAACACGAATCACAAAAGGCATCAATATATCACCCCAGCAGTGTATACCACAATCTGTTATACCACAATCACAGATTGTGGAAGGTTTGTGTCAGGATTGTACCCTCGTAAGAACACTTTCTCCTCGACGCACAAACTGCTGGTCTCAATCATTACAAGCAAATGTTTCTCGTTCCAATCCTCGACTCACAAACTGCTGGTCTCAATCATTACAAGCAAATGTTTCTCGTTCCAATCCTCGACTCACAAACTGCTGGTCTCAATCATTACAAGCAAATGTTTCTCGTTCCAATCCTCGACTCACAAACTACTGGTCTCAATCATTACAAGCACATGTTTCTCGTTCCAATCCTCGACTCACAAACTGCTGGTCTCAATCATTACAAGCAAATGTTTCTCGTTCCAATCCTCGACTCACAAACTGCTGGTCTCAATCATTACAAGCAAATGTTTCTCGTTCCAATCCTCGACTCACAAACTGCTGGTCTCAATCATTACAAGCAAAAGTTTCTCGTTTCAATCCGTCGTACTGGAAAATTCCAAAAAGAATTTTTTAAATAATTTCTAAACGTCAACGTCGGCTCATGTTTTCTTCGAGTCGTCCTGAAAGTATGGAAGTTTACGCAACCAATGCTTGAGTATGTCAAAGGTTGTGAAGCTGACCCCGACAGCGATTGGTCCTTTAATCCAGTTCATGCTCAAACCTTTGTACATCCCTCGTATAAACCCCTCCTCCTTCACTATGAGCCGTGCTGTGTTCATGATAGAGGTGTAGTCGTGAATGTGACCAGTGACTCCTGTTGTAAACAGAAAAAGTGCTTAGCTATAAAAAATTTAAAGTGCGTACGAAACATTTTTTTTTAAATATAAATTAAGGGCTTAGTAAAAAAATGGAAAGGTGTGGTTGGGAGGTGGAACACATGAGTGCTAGCCCAAAATCTTAAGTTCAAATCTCAAGCGTGATTTTGTGGGACGTTAGTGAGCCCAAATAGTTTGAGTGGAAACCTATTTCAGGTTAGGGAAATAACAGGTGGCGGGGCTTAAAAGTGGCAACACTAACCATTTCAAGTTACAGAAATATTTAAACTCTAATTCATCTGTCCTATTGACCATGAGGTCTGAGAGGATAATATTACATCTGCTGGAAAAAACCCAATGATTTTAGAGTTGTTATGGGGTAAATTTAGATCCCCGGGCACATGAGTCTGTTATCTTCCCATCTAAGAGAGAAAACTCCAAAATCAAAAAACTGATAGGGTCAGTAAAGATCATGGTTGCTAAACAGAAAAGTCCAGAGTTCGAACCCCAAGACAGATGAGGCTTATTAGCTGGGGACAGCAACCCATCTATGAGAAAATTTAAAATCAAACAACTGCTGCCTTGTAATTTGTTTTTGGATGAAACAAGGCTTTGGAAGCAAAATCAGGAAGAAAAGTAGGCTGAAATTTGAGTCGACAGGCCAATCCTGTCCAACATTACTGTGGTGCTGTAAATTGTATGAAACGTGCATGTGGAACAGTGTAGGCTGTGTTTGTAACCTTATTGTTGCATTGTTTGACAGTGTAGGCTGTGTTTGTACCCTTATTGTTGTATTGTTTGACAGTGTAGGCTGTGTTTGTACCCTTGTTGTATTGTTTGACAGTGTAGGCTGTGTTTGTACCCTTATTGTTGTATTGTTTGACAGTGTAGGCTGTGTTTGTACCCTTATTGTTGTATTGTTTGACAGTGTAGGCTGTGTTTGTAACCTTATTGTTGTATTGTTTGACAGTGTAGGCTGTGTTTGTACCCTTGTATTGTTTGACAGTGTAGGCTGTGTTTGTACCCTTATTGTTGTATTGTTTGACAGCGTAGGCTGTGTTTGTACCCTTATTGTTGTATTGTTTGACAGTGTAGGCTGTGTTTGTAACCTTATTGTTGTATTGTTTGACAGTGTAGGCTGTGTTTGTACCCTTATTGTTGTATTGTTTGACAGTGTAGGCTGTGTTTGTACCCTTATTGTTGTATTGTTTGACAGTGTAGGCTGTGTTTGTACCCTTATTGTTGTATTGTTTGACAGTGTAGGCTGTGTTTGTACCCTTATTGTTGTATTGTTTGACAGTGTAGGCTGTGTTTGTAACCTTATTGTTGTATTGCTTGACAGTGTAGGCTGTGTTTGTACCCTTATTGTTGTATTGTTTGACAGTGTAGGCTGTGTTTGTACCCTTATTGTTGTATTGTTTGACAGTGTAGGCTGTGTTTGTACCCTTGTTGTATTGTTTGACAGTGTAGGCTGTGTTTGTACCCTTATTGTTGTATTGTTTGACAGTGTAGGCTGTGTTTGTACCCTTATTGTTGTATTGTTTGACAGTGTAGGCTGTGTTTGTACCCTTATTGTTGTATTGTTTGACAGTGTAGGCTGTGTTTGTACCCTTATTGTTGTATTGTTTGACAGTGTAGGCTGTGTTTGTACCCTTATTGTTGTATTGTTTGACAGTGTAGGCTGTGTTTGTACCCTTGTTGTATTGTTTGACAGTGTAGGCTGTGTTTGTACCCTTATTGTTGTATTGTTTGACAGTGTAGGCTGTGTTTGTACCCTTATTGTTGTATTGTTTGACAGTGTAGGCTGTGTTTGTACCCTTATTGTTGTATTGTTTGACAGTGTAGGCTGTGTTTGTAACCTTATTGTTGTATTGTTTGACAGTGTTGAGTCTGGTTGGGTTTGTTGATGTGTATGTTGTTGTATAGAGTGAATGTGGGTAACAAGGGAAGCGACTGTCGAGGGACAGCGTGTGTTGACGTGTGTGTTGACATGTATGTTGTTGTACGGAGTGAGCGAGGATAACAAGGGAAGCCACTGGTCGAGTGTGCTGTGAGCGGGAGGAAGGAGGTGTGTTACAGTGGAAGTGGGCGTCGCACAGAATAAGAAAGAAGTATTGTATCAACATTGTCACTGAGATATAGTTGATATTACACCCTACTGATTCACCCAACTCATCTAACGACTTGTGCATAAATGTAATACTCCCAGACACTTACAATTAAAAACAAAGAAGAGAAAGAAAAAGAAAACCTTACCAGCAGTTTGCATTCTTCTTCTAACAATGTCCAAGGGATACGAGGCAGACTGGCCAACCATTCCAGCCACGGCACCAAACAACATTCTCTCTATGGGCGTTGGGTCTTTGCCTTTGTGGGTTTCTGAGAGAACCAAGAGAGGAATCAAAATATGCATAGTCTATAGACCTGACTGGGGCTGTGTCTAATTTTTAGATGGTTTCTATGAAATTGAGAAACCTGAACACTTATGTATATAATAAAACTGATTTATTTTTTTAATATCAATAAAAAAATATTCACGCACAAAATTATTGTATACTTAAATTAAACAGTCATTTAAATATCCCGAAGTGTCTTAAATTCACCTCCATTTTATTAATACTTTGTTACATACTTGAACCATTTACATTAACTTTATAATATCTGATTTTTATTTTACATTTATTTTTAACTTTTGCTGCTTTGATATAAGAAGCATGGTTAAGTGGTAGAGTGCATGAGCCCAATGGTCACAAGTTAGATTCCCAGAGTTTGAGTCTGTAGGATGTCAGTGAGTCTACCCAGCTTAGATAGGTACCTGACATTAGTCAGCGAAAGTTAAGGTACTGCATACACTATTCCTTCTTAAATAGAAAGAGATTAACTCTACTTCATCTGTCCCATTGAGAATTTTTCTCTAAAAGGGTATATAACCTTTTTAGCGCAATTTCCATTCTGGAGAATTGCGTTTATTAACCCGTCATTTCTGGATGTATGAATGTATGAATGAATGGATGGATGGATGGATGGATGGATGTGTGTCCGCAGCTTTAAGTCGTATCTTCTCCTCAACGAAGCAATATCGATGACTAGTTCCAAAAGCAATTATGTTAAGCAAGTTACGAGGATGAACATAGGCCATAAAAATTCCGGGTTTCTTTCATGGATTTCCCGGAAAAGCCAAACAACCTCGAAAAAAAGCAGTTTTTGGCCCATATCTCGGCAACCAGACCACTTAGCGACTTGAAACATGTACCAATCGATTCCTGCCATAATTTAGAACAATATTGCTGAAGAAAGTTTTCAAAAATATCCTTTCGTTCGGTCACAACAAATTTTTTGAATTAATTAAAATTTGGACCGAATTAGTAGGCATATTTATCCAACCACACCACACGCGTCATCACGTTCAATAGCTGCGCCATCACGTTCAATAGCTGCGCCATCACGTTCAATGGCTGCGTCATCACGTTCAGTAGGCGCGCAATGGTTTTTAGTCATGTAACTCTATTGTAAATAAATCATGTAAAATACTGAAAAAAATGTTAATAAAAAACGTTTTAATAACTAACCAATTGTTTTACTAACCCTGCTCTTGATTTACGCTACGACAGAGCTATTTTTAGATAACATAAGGAAATTGCGCTTAAATGTCACTAGACTTTTTAATTAACTTGTTTTTACTTAGCTATGAGGAATAAATCACCCAAAAAATAACAACTCAAGTGCTTTCTACACCTTTTGCATGCTTTAGGATGCGGTCACAGAAACAGACTAACTCTACTTTATCTGTACCACTGAACTTTTATCCTAAAAGGGTATTTTATTTTTTTACTTAGATATGAGGAATAAATAACCGACAAAATTTTGTTTTAACTCAAGTGCCTTCTACACCTTTTGCATGTGTTAGGATGGCCTGCGATGAAAACTTAATCTGTGTCAATGTATTTCTGTGTCAATGTATGTCTGCGTCAATGTATGTCTGTGTCAATGTATGTCTGTGTTAACGTATTTCCCACACTTGATTACCTGCATGAAATTTCTTTAAAGTTTCATATGTGAAGAAACTGGATCCTGAATACGGGATAGATCCAAGCATGGTGGGGGTGAACCCGCGGTAGATCGACCGTACTCCTTCTACACGTATCATTTTCATAAACACTTCCCCTATGTGATTGTACCTGGTCAGGTAAACATTAATAAACACATTTTCATAAACACTTCCCCTATGTGATTGTACCTGGTCAAGTAAACATTAATAAACACATTTTCATAAACACTTCCCCTATGTGATTGTACCTGGTCAAGTAAACATTAATAAACACATTTTCATAAACACTTCCCCTATGTGATTGTTCCTGGTCAAGTAAACATTAATAAACACATTTTCATAAACACTTCCCCTATGTGATTGTACCTGACCAGGTAAACATTGATAAACACATTTTCATAAACACTTCCCCTATGTGATTGTACCTGGTCAAGTAAACATTAATAAACACATTTTCATAAACACTTCCCCTATGTGATTGTACCTGACCAGGTAAACATTGATAAACACATTTTCATAAACACTTCCCCTATGTGATTGTACCTGGTCAAGTAAACATTAATAAACACATTTATATTCATCTACTAAATTTGATTTGCAATATTTTGTAGAGTAAACTTAATCCGTCGATCAATTAATTAATACACAAATATGCTTAGTCCACCTACAAATTAATTTTAAAAATATGCAGTCTATCAATTAATTAATAAAAAAGTATGCATAGTCCATCAATTAATTAATTTTAAAAATATGCATAGTCCTCAATTAATTAATAAAATATATGCATATGAAAATTAATAATCAACTAACTATACGATTTGTAAATTATCGTATAGTAAAACTGTATGTTTCAACTTACTAATCAACAGCAGAGCAAATAAAAGCCAAACTGAGTAAATTCCTTGGCTGTAGTCATGGAATACACTAGCTAGGATGTGCACCCGACGTGTAAAGGGAAGTAAATATGTCTGGCAAGGGAATTTACTAAATGCTACATCACCAAGGGTCACAGAAACAACTTTTTTTTTTGCCCCTTTTTCGGTACAGTAGTATTTGAAAAGGTACTGCAGGAAACTGTATTCTCATGCCCCATTTCCACCCCACCCTCTCTACCCCAATCCAGCTGTTCAATTATAAAAAAAACCAGTACAGCAACTAATTTAAAAAGTCAAAATTTAATGGAGTTATTTGACAAGGCCACTTGCCAAACCTGCAAAGTCCATTTATGGAAAATAACAAGTTACTCTTATAGCCATCTTCATCGGCAATTAAAATAGTATACTAATTTTTTATCCAAAAGGTATACATTAAAATAAATTATATAATGGTAAAATATCAAAAACCCTAGGAATATTAACCAAAATAAATTTAAAAGTCGATTTCCTCAAAATCAATCAGATGTGGCTAACTCCAAATTTTTAATTAATATACCTCACAATAATTTCTTCATTGAATTTAATTTTAAAAAGTTCTCAGTTTAAATTATCGTTAACCAAATTTCTTATTACTGCTAGAATAAGAATTTTTAAAAAAAACTAACGTCTCTTTGGGAGTGACAGCCATACGGGCCCTACACAGATCCAGTGGGTAGGTGAAGGCCACAGAGGTCACGCCTGCTAAAGACCCTGCCAGGAACCGTAAGTGTGGAGGTAAATGCCTGCAGAAAAGAAGGAAGAAAAAAAAAGCTTTTTTTATCTCCCCTTTTCAAAAAAACAAATCAACATTAGCTTATGTTTTTTCAATCATAGTTAAAATACATTTATGAAAGAAAAGCGTTATATTTAGGCTAACAAAATACATCTACTACAAAAAACAGAATATATTATATAATTATGTAATTTTGGAGATCAATTTACATCAAAGCCTACAGTTAAAACAGAAATTCCTTTGACTGTAATCTATTTGAAAAGGTAATATTGTCCCTAAAATCCAGCACTTATAAAGTATTTATACCTGCTTAATAATAATTACTTAATAAAATTTTTATCAGATTTTGATCTGTGAATGTTGAAAATATTTATATTAAAAAGAATAATGAAAACATCTCTACATTACAAATAATTGGGAAAAATCAACACTCTTAAAGAATTTTCTAGAAAATAAAATACAAAGTAATGGAGTAAAATTGTAGCTTTCAGTGCAGCTTAAAAAGCAGTTTTAACATATAACAATTCTTTTATAAAACTGATAGACACAAAAAAAACATGTTAAGCTTAATGAAACTGAAAAATTTTTTAAAAATTGAGAAAAAAAAAGACCACTGACTTTTTATTGTTGAAGTTCAACCAAAGTTTATACTGCTCGTGGGAGCTGAACTGGATGGCAGCGTATGGTATAATCCTGACCAGGGTGGCAGAGTTGCCCCTCCATAGGGACAGGAAGCCTGACTCTTTCACAGTCTGGTACAGGAAGTGGATGGCTTCTCTGGCGGAGAATCTCTTGTTGGCAACTGGGGGTTCAAGGGTAACAGGTTTTAGTGGGGTTTCAAGGGTAATGGGTTTTACATAACTGGATTAACTAAAATATTGTATGGTCTAATTGATGAAAACTTAAGAACAAGAACATATACAGAGTTATATTTGATAAAAATGCAAAATTGCTACTGATATAAACTTTACCTGCAACTTAGGTATACGCATTTTTAGATTATTGTTATGTCATGCAGCTAGCCTTTGGGGCTAATACAGCAGATAAAGTAGAATTCATAAGTTTGCCACTGCATAGAGGGGATAGTCTGGTCAGCTCTAGGCCAAGCTATGTTTACTTCCCCAAAGTCAGGTACCCATAACAGCTGTCATTTGAGGGACACAACCCACTCAAACACAAATTTAACTTGAGACTTGTGGTTTATTAATCACACCCTTTACCAAATAATGTGCTGCCATATCACATCATTCCTATATAAGCTGTAGTCACGGCATAAGATAAACTCTATTTCATCTGTGCAATTGTCTACAAGGTTGAAAGGTAGAATTAACTTGTACAAAAAATTATATTACTTTTACCTATTACTAGTATATATTTATCTATTAATACAATCATATATTACCTACATTTTTTAACAGATATGCGCATTATCCTAGCCTATGATAACATTGTTAATTGTTTTAAATATAAAAAGCACGCTTTTCACCTTATTAATTACCACATTTATTATGTACACCATGCTATGTAATATTTGAAGCTTCTCATTTATTATGTACACCATGCTATGTAATATTTGAAGCTTCTCATTTATTATGTACACCATGCTATGTAATATTTGAAGTTTCACATTTATTATGTACACCATGCTATGTAATATTTGAAGTTTCACATTTATTATGTACACCATGCTATGTAATATTTGAAGTTTCACATTTATTATGTACACCATGCTATGTAATATTTGAAGTTTCACATTATGTACACCATGCTATGTAATATTTGAAGTTTTACATTTATTATGTACACCATGCTATGTAATAATTGAAGTTTCACATTTACTATGTACACCATGCTATGTAATATTTGAAGTTTCACATTTATTATGTACACCATGCTATGTAATATTTGAAGTTTCACATTTACTATGTACACCATGCTATGTAATATTTGAAGTTTCACATTTATTATGTACACCATGCTATGTAATAATTGAAGTTTCACATTTACTATGTACACCATGCTATGTAATATTGGAAGTTTCACATTTATTATGTACACCATGCTATGTAATATTTGAAGTTTTACATTTATTATGTACACCATGCTATGTAATATTTGAAGTTTCACATTATGTACACCATGCTATGTAATATTTGAAGTTTCACATTTACTATGTACACCATGCTATGTAATATTTGAAGTTTCACATTTATTATGTACACCATGCTATGTAATATTTGAAGTTTCACATTTACTATGTACACCATGCTATGTAATATTTGAAGTTTCACATTTATTATGTACACCATGCTATGTAATATTTGAAGTTTCACATTTATTATGTACACCATGCTATGTAATATTTGAAGTTTCACATTTATTATGTACACCATGCTATGTAATATTTGAAGTTTCACATTTATTATGTACACCATGCTATGTAATATTTGAAGTTTCACATTTATTATGTACACCATGCTATGTAATATTTGAAGTTTCACATTTATTATGTACACCATGCTATGTAATATTTGAAGTTTCACATTTACTATGTACACCATGCTATGTAATATTTGAAGTTTCACATTTACTATGTACACCATGCTATGTAATATTTGAAGTTTCACATTTATTATGTACACCATGCTATGTAATATTTGAAGTTTCACATTTATTATGTACACCATGCTATGTAATATTTGAAGTTTCACATTTACTATGTACACCATGCTATGTAATATTTGAAGTTTCACATTTATTATGTACACCATGCTATGTAATATTTGAAGTTTCACATTTACTATGTACACCATGCTATGTAATATTTGAAGTTTCACATTTATTATGTACACCATGCTATGTAATATTTGAAGTTTCACATTTACTATGTACACCATGCTATGTAATATTTGAAGTTTCACATTTACTATGTACACCATGCTATGTAATAATTGAAGTTTCACATTTACTATGTACACCATGCTATGTAATATTTGAAGTTTCACATTTATTATGTACACCATGCTATGTAATATTTGAAGTTTCACATTTACTATGTACACCATGCTATGTAATATTTGAAGTTTCACATTTATTATGTACACCATGCTATGTAATATTTGAAGTTTCACATTTATTATGTACACCATGCTATGTAATATTTGAAGTTTCACATTTATTATGTACACCATGCTATGTAATATTTGAAGTTTCACATTTATTATGTACACCATGCTATGTAATATTTGAAGTTTCTCACTTTGAAAATTAATTTTGGTCCTGTCCAGTGGGGCAATGACAGTTTTAGCCAGGGCTCCCGCCATAGCTCCAGCTATCAAAGCTGTAAATACCTTGTGTTGATCAGCAACCTGGGGGAGATGTGATCAGTAGATGTAGCAGGATAAGTCAGGTTAATTTTTTACTAGCAGGATAAGTCAGGTTAATTTTTTTAGTAATAGGATAGTTCAGGTTAATTTTTTAGTAATAGGATAGTTCAGGTTAATTTTTTTAGTAATAGGATAGTTCAGGTTAATTTTTTAGTAATAGGATAGTTCAGGTTAATTTTTTAGTAATAGGATAGTTCAGGTTAATTTTTTAGTAATAGGATAGTTCAGGTTAATTTTTTTAGTAATAGGATAGTTTAAGTTAATTTTTTAGTAATAGGATAGTTCAGGTTAATTTTTTAGTAATAGGATAGTTCAGGTTAATTTTTTTAGTAATAGGATAGTTCAGGTTAATTTTTTAGTAATAGGATAGTTCAGGTTAATTTTTTAGTAATAGGATAGTTCAGGTTAATTTTTTAGTAATAGGATAGTTCAGGTTAATTTTTTTAGTAATAGGATAGTTTAAGTTAATTTTTTAGTAATAGGATAGTTCAGGTTAATTTTTTAGTAATAGGATAGTTTAGGTTAGTTTTTTAGTAATAGGATAATTCAGGAAAAGTAATTTAATATTTTTTTTTTGTTACAGGATATTTCAGTTTTAATAATTTGATATTTTTTATAAAAGGACAGTTGAGGTTAAGTAATTTTATGTTTTGTTTAACACGTGAGTTCCGATACAGTGATTTGATGGTTTGTTCAGATCTACTAGAATGAGGTTTATTGTTTGACTTTTTGCTTTCTGTATGGAAATCGTTGGCTCAGGAGATGCCTCCCATTAGACAGACAGGCCTTAACATGCAAACTCTTGACTGACTGACTTAGAAATCAGTTTGATTGCCATGTATTAGTCACTAGTGTAATTTTGTTTTTTCAGCTATAGTCACTTAATGGTTTGTTATTGTAGATTAATACACCAACAGAAATTTGATCTGTTTGATAGTTTGGCTAAAACAATGACTTTTATTAAATTAATTAAAACATTATATCAAGAATAGATAACTCTGGTCATGGAATGTGAGGAGTTACCTTCTCATTGATCTTGTGTTCCTCCTGATGATAATGCTCTTCATCTTTACCTCCCTCCCCAGCAATCTTGCTTCTAATTTTAGCCATGGGCAGAATGAGTACCTAAAGTTAAAACAGGCACAGCTTTTTTTTAAAAGCTAACAAATTCATGTTTAGGTACACAGTCAACGAAGATGTGTTAAGAGAGCTGGCCTTTGACATAAATATCTAAATATAATATGCTTTTAGCATACAAGTTGCTTCAAGTCTGGCATGAGATCAACAGTTTTGGGTGTTTTAATATGACAACCAGGTGTTCCTGTACCAAATAGATTGAGGGGGAAAAAAATTAATGAGTATTTTATGCCATAGGTCAAGTACGTGACATCACCTTTGATTTTAAAAACTTCAATTAGAAACATAGCCAAAGAATTAACCAAAAAAAATATAACTTGTTCTTTTATATTATTAATAAAATAAAAAAAAAATTTCTAAAAAAAATGTTAGTAACAAGGGAAAAAGTTAGTGTGCAACGAGTATTTTGTGTGCGCGGTGTTCTAAAAGTCTTATAAAATGATATATGTAATTTACAAAATGACTGCGCGGCAAATTTTTTTACAAAATGACTGCGCGGCAGTTGAAAGTTAGTGCGCTGCCGCGCAACAGCGCAGCTTAGAGGGAACACAGGTTAGTAGCCTCACAACTTACAGACAATGAATGTTAAACAATTGTCTTTAGATAGTGAGATTACCCTCTCTTTCTGTAATAGGTATAACCAACTCCAGTGGTGTAGTTAATCAAAGAAGATGACATCAGGATAATTAATCAAGCATTTCTCACACTTTGTCTGTCCGTCGTTCCTCCTTCCCCCCTCCCCCAACGGCCAGTTTGTTTTGTGGGTGAGGTGGCTTTAAGTCTCGCCCCCGTGAGTTTAGCAAGTGTTACTAACAATATCTGTTTTTTTTATTAACTGTTTATAAATATGCCTTATTGCAACTATCATTTTCATTTTAGTATTTCGTTTTGATATAAAACTTTAAATAATAGAATTGATGTTAATGCTTTAAGAATTGTATTATCTTAACCTTCAACCTTAGAAGGTTATGTATAAACAAATAAAGTTGTCTAATTTATTTTTTATTGCTAAAGATTACATGAAACATCCAAATTTTATGTGAAAGCAAACTGAAACATGTTTTAAAAATATGAAATATTAATGTAAAATAGAACAAGAAATTAGCAAACAAGTAATACAAATATAGAATGGTAATAAAACAAACTTACGTTGTTGTTTTTTTATCTGCCAAGATCACTAATAGCAATGATAGAAACACAACTAGCCTTTACAAATTTATATTTAATTTTTCTACAATTAATTTTACTAAAGTTAATTTTACTCATCAGATGAAAAAAATTTAAAGGAAAGATAACTACCTCAGCAGAGTTAACTGCCACAGGAGTTACTGGCTCTTTACTCACTGTAACCATGGCTCCATTATTCATATTTTATTGTCTGAAATAGCCATGAGAAAATAAGAAAATAGCCATGAAAAAATAAGAAAATAGACATGAGAACATAAGAAAATAGCCATGAGAAAATAAGAAAATAGCCATGAGAACATAAGAAAATAGCCATGAGAACATAAGAAAATAGCCATGAGAAAATTTTTAAAAAATAGCCTTGATAAGAAAATTGTTACGAGAAAATTAAAAAAAAAAAAAAAAAGATCAAATTAAAAAATAAAGAGATAAAAGAAAACCTTGAATATAAAAAAGCGTGAGAAACCATCTAAATATAGTCAGAAAATAATAATAAAAAAATGTGAAAAACATAAGAAAATGATGAAAATAGCAATAATGTAAAGTAAAAATTATAATCCATATTAATTAGCATTACATACTTAGTGTCATCAAAAATGGAAATTTCATTAGGCCTAGAATGTAAAGTTTGTACATGCCACTCAAAAAGAAACTATTTACTTTTCTTCAACTTCAACAATGTGATCCTTTCATTTTGTCCCCTTATTTTATTGTCCAAGTTTTTAAAATATTTGTTCTCTGCTCATATGAGTGCATTGCAAGACTGGTTTGTTTATAGTCTATTTTTAGAACAAAAAAAAGAACCTAGGTCACCATTTGTAAAGGTTAAAGTCCAAGGGGCAAACTCCACCTTGGAATTTGTATTCCTTTTATCTAGCTCTCATTGATTACCATCAGGCATATGATCAGTGAATCAACTATCTCAATGTGCACTTGTTTTTTTTTAGTGCAGACCAACACATGCAACTGTGTGAAGAAATTAGTTTATCACTTATTGGGTACTTTCCTGTTAAGTTACCATCAGGCATATGATCAGTGAATCAACTATCTCAATGTGCACTTGTTGTTTTTTAGTGCAGACCTGCACATGCAGCTGTGTGAAGAAATTAGTTTATCACTTATTGGGTACTTTCCTGTTACGCCCTAGATAGAGAAATCACTGACACAATTTGATTCTACTTACACAAACTCATAAACAAAATAGGTTATCTTTTTTCTGAATTGGGTGTTTGTTTTTCTTTTAAAACTCTAGACATGTTTAACAGTTTGATTCTTGGAATGAGCATTACCAATAACATTATGAAAAATAAACACTCATATTACACTTCTCTAGTCCTAAATCCTTAAAAAAAAAAATAAACTGCACTAACCAGCTCTAATTTAACAGTAAAATAAATTAGATAAAGAATATAGATAAGAATGGAAATATTTTTTAAATGTCTGAATGAACAATTTAACTTCATACTTTAAATCTAGATCACCAGCAACAAAACACTCACTCTAGCCATTAATGTAAACCTGAGCAGTGAGTAGCACTAACTCATCTAACCCTAACCCTAACCATGTAACCAGCTTTTGTTGGTTCTCTGGTTGATAGTAAGGAACCTAATTCTGTAAACAAGACTGACAGATAGATAAGAGAAAATAAAGAAATAGTCTAGCCTGTCATCTACCACACAAATCAGCCACATCATAAGTACCACAGGTAAACAATAGCAGCCACACCACAAGTACTACAGGTAAACAATAGCAGCCACACCACAGGTACTACAGGTAAACAATAGCAGCCACACCACAGGTACCAAAGGTAAACAATAGCAGCCACACAACATGTACTAAAGGTAAACAATAGCAGTCATGCCACAGGTACTAAAGGTAAACAATAGCAGCCACACAACAGGTACTAAAGGTAAACAATAGCAGCCACACAACAGGTACTAAAGGTAAACAATAGCAGCCACACAACAGGTACTAAAGGTAAGCAATAGCAGTCATGCCACAGGTACTAAAGGTAAACAATAGCAGCCACACAACAGGTACTAAAGGTAAACAATAGCAGTTACACAACTGGTACTAAAGGTAAACAATAGTAGTCACACAACTGGTACTACAGGTAAATAATAGCAGCCACACCACAAGTACTACAGGTAAACAATAACAGCCACACCACAGGTACCAAAGGTAAACAATAACAGCCACACCACAAGTACTAGAGGTAAACAAACACCACATCAAAGGTACTACAGGTAAACAATTGCAGACAGCATGGAGAAATTTAAACACTTTCTGTTTTGGTGACCTTGCAGAAAGAATAAAACATCTTCAGGTGATACATTCACACACATTCTGTGAAGATACCTGTAGTTCCTAAACCTGTCACAGACACTTAACCAGTGCTTTATGACTTAACAGAATGAATTTTTTTCCAACCCTATTCAAATACCACTGGCTGTAAAATAGGACAACTTGGGTTCAAAGGTTATAATGTGTACTAGGACAGACATGTTCTTACAGTACTCTCTAGCACATACATGTTTGTTGGGAAAAGTGAACACACTGCTAATTGTACCAATGGCAATTTTATTTTTAACATATGGTACAAGTGAACTAGTTGCTAAGTGTACTAATGACAATTTTTAAAAGATCTTTAGAATTAATGTAGATTTTATGCTTCAATAAAAATTCAGATGTTTAAGAATAATTTAAAGAAAAAACTCAAAGTGATCTGAAATGTTATAATTTGTCCAATGTTTTAGACTATGGCAGGGGCTAGTGATAGAATTAGGTTGCTACTAAAGTATTGCTATTTACATGTCGCAAATCGCAATATAAACAGAAAGTTATATATATTGCTATTTCAGTAACTAAGTCTGCTTTTACCCCCACTACACACAATTTACATTCTCAAATTAAAGTGTTAATTTTATCACTTTTTGTGACTGAATGAAAACAAAGGCTCGTTGAAACTAAAAGAATTTAATAATATCTACACTATCTACACCTAACACAGTCTATTCTAAACACAAAACACACAAGCTAGTAAAACTATGATACAGTGGCTAAATACTAGTATAAACCTAACCTGTACTAACCATGGAGATCTGGACAAATCTGAGGTAATCACACACGTTTTTATACACCTTATATACCCTTACATAAACTGGTACAAACCGAACTATTACAACTCACAGCACGAGAAATGAACAAGGACGAACGGAATAAGGTAACAGGTACAACAACATACACCCCCATTCATCCGCTTTCACTACAGTGTTGAAGCAAAATATCCGTTGGTGTTAATTAATACTAGTCAAGTATGTGACCCACTTATTAGTGTTGCCAAGTATTGATTTGTTGTTCTGCTTTTAAAAACAATGCTAGGGTCACATTAAAATTGTATGACCTTAGATTTTGCAGAGTCAACCCAAATGTGGTCTGGCTCTCTTGATTGAATAAATTTAGAAATTAGATGTATGTAGGTTTATAATTTTAGGGTGGTTTTTTAAGGAAATGCTGAGCTGTCAACATTTTAATAAAGGATATTAAAACTGTTCTAAAAAAAATACAGTTCTAAATAATGTATTTCACATTGCAAATATATTTTTTATTTAAAAGGTTGTCCATAAATGCTGTGCTTAGCTGTCAATTTTAATTCCTCCCTACAGCATGGCCAGCCACATTATCATCACTAAAAGGCCTACACTTGTACTCTTAAGGGGGAATGTTGATTGCAACATGGCTGGGATGCTAATCATCTCAATGCATGTCATGTTTTGGTTTGCCATGACCTATGGTACATTTAATTCATCTGTGAATTGCTAGAGCTAATAAATCTATAAGACAGAAAAGGGGTTACAAAGTTTGGCACTGTATAACAGGGGATGAAAAAATCATCCATAATGTATTAATGAGCTTAAACTTAACTAAAATTATTTATTTAATTCACATTAAGGGTCAGGATGGAGAGGAGCAATACCAACAAAAAAAAAAAAAAACTTTCAATTTGACTTGCATTACTCACAATTACAATTAACATTATATATATAGGCCTACAGCCTGATGGAGTTCATAAGCTAATTTACTAAAGTGATAGAATATTGAATATGCCTATAGATACATTAGATAGGATTAGTGACTAGATCTACAAGTTTAAAATTAGGCTACTTACTTTACAACATATACAAATCACATGTAGATCTTTAACTTTATTTAGATCTAGACTAGACCTTATGTCAAAGTCCCTGGTCTAAAGTTTCCAGTTGTTGAAAATCAGACAGTTGAGACACAGTTAGGTGTCATCTAGAATATTGACAAACTTATGAAAAGCAGTTCATGTGTAGGCCTAATAATAATAATATTCCATAATATTGTGTAAGAATGTTAAACCTAAGAGGTTTTTTTTATTGTTTGTGTTAGGCCTACTTAAAAAGATGATCTACTTTTTGAAGAAGACATAGGCCTAATTTTAATTAAACTTTAAGATCTAGATCTTAGACTACTCAACTACATTTGACTATACTTGCCAACTTGGCCTTACTTAGCAGACTCGAGCTAGATCTAGATCTATTCTAGCTAGAATTAGAATTTAATTATTAATTATCACTTGAGATTAGACTTAGATTCTGGTCTAACTAAATCTAGATCTATCCTAGGCCTAATCTAGGCCTATAGACTATAGAATATATAAATCTATATTCTAAAAATCCATATGGTTTAAAAATTGGTAATCTATCATTTTAGGTATGTAAAATCGCCCGCGGCTAGTAATGTACAAAAAAGTTACATCATTGTCAAGGCTTTAATAGAAGTATATTGTGATATATTTGTGTCAAATATTATAGATTAATGAATAATAAACCTAAATCAATGGCTAAATATATCAATATTGAATTGAATAGGCCTATAGGCAAGAAATTAACTTTAAACAGCAGTGTTTGCTAGCAGGATTTGCTATATAAAAAGCGGCCATCTGTAAGTTAGAGTGGCCTCCCCTGAATCTTGCACTATAAGTTTACAATTAAAAAAATAAACAAGATGGCTGCTATAGTAAATGAGCACGGTTGCATCTGTTAGAAACATCGCTAGTCTTCATTTATTACTGAAAAGTTTTAATTCAGTTGTTTAAAAATAAAAACAGGTAGATCTACATAAATTAAGCAAGGAAACATTTTTTGTATTTTTCAAAACAAATCCTCCTCAAAATGTGAAATAATTATTAAAATAAAATTTAAGGAGTCACCTGTTTTTCACATTACTAGTTGCGGGCGATTTTACGTACCTAAAATGATAGATCACCTAAAAATTAAATGCATCAACATAGGCCTATTCAGTTGAATTAACTCTTGTAAAACAAATTGCACTGCTGAGAAAACAAAGTACAACGCTGAGGTCGAATTTTACTTCGACTACGACTACGCTAGACTAGACTACCAATGGCTAGCTCTTGGCTAACAATTAATTAGATGTATAATTTACATTCAATAAGCGTGAATATAATTTTTGAGTGAGCGTCGGAGTCGTTCCATCTCCCAATAAACATGAGACTATTTATCTAGTTACTATTCTAGAGTCTAGACGTCTAGACTAGATCCAAATTCTAAACTTAAAACGAGAGTGAACTATGGTCGGGTCGACTGTAAACAAAATATATAGATCTAGTAGCTTCCCCTTGGTTGGGCTATTAATAGATCTAGTAATTTTTCTCATTTGGATTTTTTATTTTAAAATAAAAAAAAAATAACAACTATATCTCTAGATCTAGTTCTAGATCGAAATCTAAATATATAGATCTATATAATTCACACAATTTCAACAATATTTAATATTCTAATTACAAAAGAAATACACTTTATATAAGAAAAAAATGTATGCCCATAGTACGTTGAACAGTAGTATTCATGATGGTTATTACCATATTATGGCAAAGAGACTATCAACATTAACCTAATTTACCGTAAGGTCGTTCTCAAGGATTTAAAGATGGGATAAAATTTCGAGACCATTTCTTATTCCAATGGCTTTATAAATCGGAAATTTTTTATAATATAAGCGTAAAATATTGAGTTTTTATTTTCTCTCTATACTGCCACTTTTATTTATATTACCGTTAAAAACCGTGCGGCGTCAATTCGGCCAATGACGAAACAGCCCCGTCAAAACGACCCCGACTAAACGACCCCGTCAAAACGACCCCGTCAAATCGGCCCCGTCAAAAGGGCCAGCGACATATGGACCCCGTCATATAGGCTCCCGACACATAGGCTCCCGTCATTTAGGCTACCGACAAATAGGCTCCCGTTATATAGGCTCCCGACAAAAGGGCTCCAGTCAATAAGGCTCCTGACAAATAGGCTCCCGTCAATTTGGCTCCCGACAAATAGTCTCCCGTCATTTAGTTTTTTCCACAAAACGGCCCCCGTCATTACGACTCCCGACAAATAGGCTCCCGCCATTTAGTTTCTCCACAAAACGGCCCCCGTCATTACGACTCCCGACAAATAGGCTAGCGTCATTTTGGCTCCCGACAAAAAGGCTCCTGTCAATTTGGCTCCAGACAAAAGGACCACTGACACAGTGGCGTAGCTACCGTAAAGCTAGCGTAAGCAAGGCATGGGGGCCCAAGGCACATAGGGGCCCTTTTCCCTCATAAAAAATTAAAACTTTTACAATGGAATTTTAATATTTGTTACATATAAATAATTTTAAAAAAGAAAAAGGTTAAAAGTTCCAAAAAGCCCCCCCCCCCCCCCCCCCAACGTTTCGGCAGTGGGATTCAGTGTTTGTGGGTCAAACAGAGCCCAATTTTTATAATAACACTACAGGCTATATCACTTTGTCGTGCAAGACATTGAGAGAATCAGCCTATAAATAAACTTTTTAGCAGTAGTAGTAGTAGGCATGCATAATAATATAGTATAAATACATAATCAGGACATATAAAATACAAAATGTTGCCTTCAGAATATTTATATATTAAAAAATATCCATCGTAAGTAGAAGTTGAACTCTTCGTTTAACTCCTCTGTAGCCTAACGCAGAGGCGTAGCGAAGGCGAGGCGGGGGGTGCGGACCGCAACGGGGGACACCATTTAGGGGGGGTGACACCAAAGGCAAAAAATAGCAAAATATATAGAGAAAAAGTTGAGGGTGTGGGGGTGCAAATCGAAAGTTTGGGGGGGGGGGGTGCAAATCGAAAACTTGAAAGTTTGTCCCCGGGAAGGGTCGCAACGCCTCTGGGGGGGGGGGGGTGACACCATTAAGTGCCGTACCGGGTGACACCCGACCTCGCTACGCCACTGTGCTTGTAGGTTATCAAAACAAAATGCTGTTATCATGTTAACATTATGTATATCATACATTCAGAGCCGGCGTTAGGGGGTGGCAAACGGGGCGGCCGCCCTAGGCCCCGCGCCTGAAGGGGCCCCGCGCTTGTTATTTTTATTAGTCATTATCTTAATTAGTTTGTAAACTTAAATTGTTGCTGAATTCAATGGGGAAAAAACTAAATGGTCGAATGCCGAAGTTGTTGATTGTTTTAACTGAGGCCACGGTTGATGTTGGTGAGTTATCACCCACCTGAACTGGGAAAGGCCGTAATTCGATACCAAAACAGTGTCACCCCTCCCCTTTGTGTAGGGTACGATCGCCTGGCATTTGACCTGAGCTGACTGGAGATTGTTGGATGCGAATCAGCCCCCGACCTGACATGGGATGTAAATTTGGGAAACAGGTAAAAAGATACTCTATTGTATGCGGACCGATGAAGACGTCCTTTTAGTGAGCAGAGGGATGCCTGTAGTAGACAGTTAGTGACCTGATGAACGCTAGTCCTGACTTTCTTGTTGTAGATGTCGCATATGTAGCCCTACTTGTCTTGGTATAACAAAATTAACATTCAGTTGCGTGCAGAGGGGTGGGAAGAGGGCGATGAGTGGGGGGGGGGGGGGAGGCCCTTAGGATCTATAACAAGGGGCATTAGACAGAGTGATTTATTTTATTTTTTTAAGAAAGTTAAAAGTGTTGATGTAGCATGTTTTCTCTATCATTAGCAGGTTTGCGTCATAGTGTCACCCCCCCCCCCCCCCTCTCCACCCTTGTCGGGATTTATCAAATTTTCTCTTAAAAGACTATTTAACACTCTAATTAACCACTTTTTAAAGTGGAACTATCATTTTTTGTATATGTTTTGCTATTTTTTGCCTTGGTGTCACCCCCCCCCCCCTAAATGGTGTCACCCGGTGCGGTCCGCACCCCCCCCCCCCTCGCTACGCCCATGCTTTTATATTAACAATTAGTCATCAACAAACAATTTAAACAACTTTATTTTCCTAATTATTTGGCACGTGATTGAATTTTCTTAAGTGATTTGGTATGAATTACATATCTGTCAAAAGTTATTAAATATCTTAGCAAGAAAAAAAAACACTAAGAACATTGGGTTAAAACGTGGGAGAGGTAAACATCTGTTATTAAAGTCTTATAGACTCCAAAACATTTATGTGTTATTATAAGTGTTTGCATATTATATAGGACTATACACACACACACACATGTATATATATATATATATATATATATATATATATATATATATATATATATATATATATATATATATATATATAATGGAAAAAAGCAGGCCCCGCGCGGATGGTTGGCCCTAGGCCCCGCGTATTCCTAACGCCGGCTCTGCATACATTTACACTTCTGTGCTCGCTTTTAAGCAACAGATCTTTTCTGTTGTAAATTAAACATTATCAAAACTTTAGAATTGGTGGAATTTAGCTGTTAAGGGCTCGATTTGTTTGTGAATTAATGTTGGTTCATGAAAAAATAATTTCATTCGGGTATTAAAAAGAGGTTATGGTGGTATTGGAGGTAGGACACAATGGTTACTTTTATGCCAATAGTGGTCATATCATTCATTTTTCTGGAGCCAATATGTCGGGAGTCATTTTGTCAAAAGCCAATATGTCGGGAGCCCAATTGCCGGGAGCCAATATGTCGGGAGCCCATTTGTCGGTAGCCAAAATGTCGTGAGCCCATTAGCCGGGAGCCCATTTGTCTTGGGCCCTTATGTCGGGAGCCAATATGTCGGGAGCCGCTTTGTCGGGAGCCAATATGTCCTGAGCCTATTTGTCAGGGGTTAATATGTCGGGAGTCCATTTGTCGGGAGCCTAAATATCGGGAGCCCATTTGTCGGGAGCCTATATGTCGCAAGTCAATATGACGGGAGCCCATTTGAGGGGAGCCAATAAGTCGGGGCCCTTTTGACGGGGCTATTTTGACGGGGTCGGTTTGTCGGGAGTCGATTTGACGGGGTCGTATTAACGGGGCCGTGTTTTGGACGGGGCCGATTTGTCCCGGGCCGTTTTGACAGGGCACCGTTAAAAACATACTGGATACGATTTCCGTTTATTCTAGACATCTAGACCTAGACCTAGACCTAGACCTAGATCTAGATCCAAATTGAAATTCCAAACAGCTGTATAAAAAGTGTAACACTACAAAAAGCTAAATATTTTTGTACAGGCAAGGTGGGTCGTTGTGGCACCAGGGCGATCAGTGTTCCTTTCACATTTTTCTCCGGGGGGGGGGGGGGGTAAAATTTCCGGGGGGGGGGGAGGGGGCGGACACTGTTAAAAGTATATATTTTCTATATAAATTCCATTTCGTTCGGAGGAGGGGGTGGGGTCGGTAAACTATATTCGGGGGGAGGGATTCGCCCCCCCCCCCCCTCTCCCGAAGCGATGCATGGAAGAATCACTGCCCGTGGTCCTTTCAGACATTTTTTCTCTTTGGGGGGGGGGTGGTGTACTTGAATTTCCGGTGTGGAGGGGGGGGGGGGTACTCTGCTTGAAGTATATATTTTTAATATCAAATCTATTTCGTTTGGGAAATGTGACGGGGAGGGGAGGGGGCGTTTTACACGCCTCCCCGAATAGATATAGATGTCTGAGTGAAACTGTGTATGTTTAAGTCTCCAGCTTTATGATGATGTTAATTAGGTGACTAAGAAAAACCATACAAATGATATATGAAATCCAGACAAGAAGGATATCCAAATGGGGGATCAGGAGAGAGGTGGCTCCCAGAGGCGTAGCGAAGGGGGGGGGGGGTGGGGCGGGGGGGGGGGGTACATATTTTCCCGGGCGCCGACCTTAGGGGGCGCCAAAATGGGTTTGAAAAAACAAATTAAAGTCTCATTTTAGCTGCATTTTTGCATTATAAATATTAAAAATATAAGGGGGTGGGGTGCAAAATGAAAGTTTGAAGGGAGGGGGTCGCAAATCGGAAAGTTTGAGAGGAGGGGGTGCAAATCGAAAGTTTAAGGGGGGTGCAAATTGAAAATTGGAAGGTTGCTCCCGAGTGGGGGGGGGCGCCAAATTGACAGTTTGTCCCCGGGTACCGGGGATGGGTCGCTACGCCTTTGGTGGCTCCCTCTGTATTTTTTTTAGTATGTCTACACTGGTACCTTTTTCGGAAAATAAAAATGATTAATTAACACGAGTAAAATACCACTTTTCGTTATCAGAAATTGTTCAAAAGTTGACAGAAACCTACGCAAACAATCTAATACTTGTATGTGAAATTTTGAGTACGTATCCACCCGACCTCACTACGCCACTGGACGCACATATATTGTGGTCGTTTTTTTTTTTGCCTCATTGTTTCAGCTAATGAAGACGCCCATTTGTGGTCGACTTCTGTACTAAAATGTTGGTTTAAAGAAGCAGTATTTCTTCCAGACTTTTTTCTGGGGGGGGGGGGGGGGGGGCGGACTAAATTTTCCGAGGCGGACACTGGTAAAAGTATATATGATCTATATAAACTCCATTTCGTTCGGGGGGGGGGGGGGCTTCGCGTCCCCGTCCCCCTCGACGAAGAGATGCCTGGAAAAAACTCTGTGAAGAAGGTGCCTATCCATGACTAGACTGACACATCGTAGCATTTTTTTTCTATTACCAACCGAATCTAACCTTACAATTGTCTGTATTGGTCGAATGTATTTTTAATAACTAATATTAGCATTAATAAGATTTGGCAAGGCCTCATGGCATATTATTCTCTTTACTTCATAGCAGTGGCGTAGCGAGGTCTGATGTCACCCGGGTGCAGCACTTAATGGTGTCCACCCCCCCCCCCCCCCCCAGAGGCGTAGCGACCCTTCCCGGGGACAAACTTTCAATTTTGATGTGCACCTCTTAAAAGACTATGTCACCCGGGTGCGGCATTTAATGGTGTCACCCCCCCCCCCCCTCCCAGAGGTGTGTAGCGACCCCTTCCCGGGGACAAACTTTCAATTTTCGATTTACACCCCCCCCCCCCCCTCAAACTTTCGATTTGCACTTCTTAAAAGACTATTTAACACTCGAATTAATCACGTAATTAAGCGGAATTGTCATTTTTCTATATATATTTTGCTATTTTTTGCCTTGGTGTCACCCCCCCTAATTGTTGTCACCCGGTGCGGTCCGCACCCCCCCCCCCCACCCCTCGCTACGCCCCTGCTCCATAGATCTCTTTCCAAAAAGAGTGCTATTTGAGTACTTTTTAGGGCACGGGTTCCCAACCTGGGGGTCGCGACCCCCCTAGGGGTCGCGAAGGTCTTTCTGGGGGGTCGCCAACTGGTATACTAAACCTTAGTAATTTGAAACAAAACATGAATATTTAGAAGAATTTTTGAAATTCGGCTTCATTAACATCACTGGAAATGTAATAGAGAAGAAACAAAGCGCACTGTACAAAGTTGTTCTCAGTCACGAATCTATGAAATCTTCAAAACTAAAACGTCATTTGAGACGAGTCATTCGGAACACACCAAAAAGATATGGAGTTCTTTCTTCGGTAAGAAGCTAGTTGCAAACGGCAGAGACTTGATCGAACAGGAAGTTTTCACCAGCATTAGTGCAAGCATCAAATGAAGTCGCGATAGAAAATGCCAAGCAAAAAAAAAAAAAAACAATAGGAGAAAATCTCATCAAACGCTGCATGTACGTAAATGTTAAATAACACATTTTTATTGAAATTAAGCCATTGTTTGCTTTTCAAGTTGATAAATCAACAGACGTGAGTTCGTGTTCGCAGTTGCTGGTCTATGTCTATTTTCATGCGGATAATAGCAAAGAAGAGTTGCTTTTTTGTGAAGATAGCATGGAGAAAATAAATACCTTTTTTGAAACTGGATGATTAAAATGGGTTACAACGGCTGTGGAGGTTTGTACGGATGGTGCGCCATCTATGTTTAGCTCAAAATCGGGCTTTCGGAAAACAGAAAAGAATTAGCTCCCTAACCACTGCCCTAAACCAATCGACATCAAGAGTCCATTGCTAGTATAAGTCGTAAATTATATAAAATCTGGAGCCTTCAAAGAACTGAGCGAAAACATTAATATAGATCACGAGGTTCTGCTCTTCTACACTACAGTACCCTGGCTGTCAAAGAACATGTTGTAAATTATTGTGTTTTTTGAATTGAAATCTGAAATCATGTGGTTCTTGGAAGGAAACAAGACTTTTTGGTATACTTAAAACGACATAGAGTGGTTGGAGAGAGTATCATACCTAGTAGATGTGTTTGAACATCAAGATAAGCTTAAACCTGAAGCTTCAGGGAAAATGAACGAATATTATAACTTTCCATGATAATCTCGGGGCATTTTTATCAAAGCTGCAAAATCGGTAAAGAAAATAAATCTTGGAAATATTGTAAATTTGAGAAACTCTGCGGTGTGGTAGATGAATCTGATTGTGAGATAATTAAAAGTTTGAAAGAAGCTATTTCTGGGCATCTTGAATCTCTTGAAAACGAACTGCATCGCTATTTCTCTGAGCTGAAAAAAAGAAAAGAATCTGCATTTACGCATTACCCATTCTCTTCTTCCCTTGATGTTGAAGGCATTTCCAATGAATTACAAGATGAATTCTTTGATTTGCAGAATGATTCCGAGTAAGATGAAAAACTGCAGACACAATTTTGGTGTAGTATTCACCATTCATACCCAAACGTAAAATTGATTGACTTTTCGAGAATATATTTTCAACACTATTCTTCGATTAAAAACAAAAATTAAGATAATTATAATGACATAGGTTGGCGTTAACAAAAATTTTTTTAAAATTAAAAACTTAACCACGAAGGTTTAGTGAATAGTATGCAATTTTACTCATGCTATTAAAACAGTTATCAAGAAGTAGTTCATATTGAAAGTCTACTAGAAAATCTTATTTTAGTGCTTATTAATTTCCATACTAATTTCGGCTTTTTAATTCTATGGGGGGTCGCGGGTCACTTACTTTTTATAAAAGGGGGGTCGCCACTCGAAAAAGGTTGTTTTAGGGGGTCATCAAACGTTGTCAAATCAATCTTGTCCCACTCGACGTTAACAATGTTTTGAGAGGAGTGGTAGGCTCAGGTGTGACGTCATTTTAGGTGTTGGGTCCTGGCTTTTACTTAAGATGTGTGACGTTGGGGAGGGAGGGGGAGGTACACATAGTTTTAAAAATCATGACGTGGCTTAGGATATGGATGACCCAAGTGTAGGTATAAATCCAGTGCTTTATTTTCACGTTGCGATGTGTTTTTTTTTTTGGCATTTTTCTGTTGGGCATCTTTGTAGGAACCGTTTTTTTTTTTACTCATGAGCACAGAAGTGTTTCTTTCTGGCTTTTTTTCTCCAGGTGAGGGAACTTTAATTTCGGTGGGGGGAGACATTTATTTTTAAATTTACAAAATAAGTTTCTCAAACGCAAATAAATAAATGTTAAAATTCAATTCAGTTCCAAACTCTTACGTTCATAACCAGAATGACCACCGACCCCCCCCCCCCCCCCCAGTAGCAATCTGTTATCTTGTTTGACTAAATGAAATTCTAAAAGTACTTTTTTTTCTCTTCCCACCCTTCACTAGCAGTAACTACCCCTCTGTATATGACACAGCAGTGGGGGTCTCCGGGGGGGGGGGGGGGGGGGGGGGCACTTGAAATCTTCGGGGGGGCGGTAAATTTTCTTCGGGGGGGGCGGCCACTGTTAAAAGTATATATTTTCTATATAAATTATATAAATTTCATTTCGTTCGGGGGGGGGGGGGCTTTGCCCCCCCCCGAAGAGATGCCTGGAAGAAACTCTGGACAAGTGACTTGCACTGGTGTGTGCCGAAAGTAAGAACATTTTTATTATAACAACGGGTGGAAAGAGATGTGAATAAATCTGTTCCAAAGAAAATATTTACACAGCTACAAGTTATGATTTTTAGTAAGCTGTGGGTTGCCCATAGCACTAAATGATTGAGTTTATATTTGCTGACCCATCAGGAAATCTAAGCTATGGTGGGTACCGGATTCACAACTGTATTTACTTCCCTAATGTGTTAGTTACCAATCAGTTTGGTGGCCTCAGATTCTAACTCAAGAATTTCAGGGTTAGCAGTCTAGTTCTCTACCACTAGAAAACGCCGTCCCATCCTAATTATTATACTATTTAATTATAGTGTATGTCATTCTAGACCATGTCCACATGTATCATATTATTTGTTCAGTTACAAGTTTACTTTTATTGCTATTATTTCAATGCTTTTTAAGCTATGGTGGTGATATTTTAATACAGGACACTAAAATACAGAACAATTAGCTTAATAAATAAATTAATAAGACCAACACCATTTTATCAAAGGTATTTATTACATCAAGTGCCACCATATTTCAAATATGAGGTAAGACTACATAATTATGGAAAACAAATTACAAGTAACAACTTTCAAAGTACTGCACACCAAATCCAGCTAATGATTTTCCAAATTACTACAATAATCCCATTTTGCTTTGTATACTAATTTAAAAAACATCTTGCTTCAGTAAAGTTAAATGATTTCTAAAGTTCATGTATAATTTGTATACAGGTGTAAACTAGTTTGACGTACACTTGCATTAGGGCAGTTGTAAAAAAATTCAAAATTTCATGTATATTTTGTAAAGAAGTTGAAGAGCATCATTCCAAATCCACAGCTGATGTTTCTTCTGTATGATGTTCTACTTTTGAAAGTAAGCACTTCATTCCAAAACCTGTTGAGAATATAAATAAAGGGATGCTCAATCAGTTTGAGTACAGTAATTGCTTTCTTGAGATAGTGGTCCTGAAAATATTTTTAAGCTCTAACTTATTTAACCGGTGTGTAGCCATTCAAAAAGTTAATTAGGCCTAAGTTGCAAACTAAGTAATTATCAGACTTTTCCAAATCAAATGATATATATGAAAAAATTTTGCTAAATGTTATATAACCCAACTCAGATTACTCAGAAGCTATGATGGGTCTTACATGCCTGGGTAATAAGGATTAAATCACAATTGGTCAACTTAGAAGAAGCCCCCCCACTAGTCAATCCTTGGGACTTGTATGTTATTTTAGCAAGTGTGTACTGTCAGTATTGTGTTATTTCACATTATTTACTAAATAATTTTGTTAATTTAGCAAAAAGTATTAGGTAAGGAATAAATAAAAATGTAAGTCATCATGTAACAAATTAAGTTGTGGTCCTTTAAATTCACTGAGAAAAACAAATACAGTTCACGGCAGTTAAAGCCAATGACGGACATAAAACATATATGGGATCAAGCTCAACAATACGGATGTACATAGCGCTCACAGGGGTTGCAGAAACAGGTGAACTCTACTTCATATGCACCATCAACCGTCAGATTCTAAAGGGAACATTACTTAAACATTCATTGTGTTATCATTAAAGAAAATTATATCAAACATAATTACTTACGTTCTCTAAGCACACATTCCATATAATTTATGATCAGTTACTTTGAGTACTGAATAAGTAAATGTCTTCGAAGGAGAATGAAAGGTGCAGTCAAACCACTACCAAAGAACAGTATGAAGTACAGGGTCAATTTTGTCTTGTTGTGGATGTTAAATGGCAGGTTCTGAGGAAAGAAAAATAACATGCAATTTGTTAAAAATTCATTAAGGTGGACCTAAACTTTGTGTGCTAAACGCAACATATACCAGATAATTCAGTGAAAAGCCTAATATTTTTAAGATACAAAATAAATCAATATCATGAAATAAGCATTTTTAAATAATTAGCTAGAACCAAATGCCTCTTTGGCACGGTAAAAAAAAAATGTAGGATTAGAATAAAGATCCTATGGAGGTCATGGGACAAAAAATAGAATTTTACAAATGTTATTTTTCAGCTGTATTTCAAAGATATGGCTGACTCACTGAGTGCAAGCGTTTGGGCAATTTTTCATCTCAGTTCTAGTGACTTTTTTTTAGAATTACTTAAAAATGCTAAACAAGAGAAAATTATTATTCTTTTCCCAGTCGTATAAACAAACAGGAGGCAGTGATGTATATGCTAAGAAGGGAATTAAGAATATCGTTTGGATAATATAGGTTAAACTAGAAGTTGGCACCATTTGAAACATACTTTTAAAAAATAAAACATTTACGAAAATGAAAACATGTGATCCATTAGATTTAGCAGTCTGAGTGGTTTACTCGAAATTGCTTAAGTTTAAAAAAATGACCACTATTTGGTTGGTAACATAGACCTAATAATAAGGTTACTTTAATTACTTCAAATGACATGTATATGCTTGTTGTCCAACTTTTAAGCAGTGTAACTGAGCTAAATAAGCATATTAATAGATCTTATCCCGGAGAAGTGGATGAAGAAATGTATTCATTTTAGGCCTATTCTTTTATTATTTTTTAATCAACAAAGAGCAGGGACAAGGATTATCAATGTGTGGTCTCTGTTGGGGCAGGGTTTCTCTCCAGCTAACAAAATAAAGTTTAGAAAGCAAGCGAGCAGTATAGTATTGCACGTGAGTCGTGATGTTTCGCACTGCATATTCCTCTGCTCACTAGTTTTTGCTTTTGATGAAAGCTGGTTTAAAAAGTGAGTAAACAAGCTTTGAAATAAGAAAAGTTTATGAAACTAACGGTGTTTTTAATCATCCAAATCAGAATCCCTTTATTAGTGGCATTATGGGGAGAGGGAGGGAAGGTGCATCAAGAATTGGGTCCATTGTTTTTCAAGTTTTTGTTACAAAGTGACTAACTAATCGGGAAAAAGGATTTTTGTTCAAAGATTAGTGTTAGTCATCTATAATGGGGCTGATTTCTCAACAAAATGTTACTGTACGTCCGACAGTTAATTCTGTAGGCATATTTTTCTCTACATTAAATCTCCCTTATCCTAAATCAAATGTTGACGTTATGCGGTTGTTCAAAAGACCAGGAGTGACCTTCATTAAAATTGAATGAGGTCAACACAAATATTAAATGATACGACTTTAATTATGACAAATATGCTATGGTAAAAAATTAAAACTGTGATTTACAGATCCCGGTACGCCTTCTTGCTGCCATTCTTGACTTCTTCTGGCTGCTGAGGTTGTAAATCTCCTCACAAGAACACGGGATGCTTGGCCGAACACCATTTTGGATTTTTCCTAAGGAAGTTGTTCGAGTACTCTGTACGTGAGCCACTACAGTAACTAATTTTTATCTTCCCGAAAACGAGAGTTACAACAAAGTATCTATAATATTCGTTTTAAACCTTTTCGCACTATTACTGCTTTAAAAACTACAAACATCCATTATTAATTGTTTTAAAAAATATGTAAATCTTTAAATTTCGCGATTCTTGATAATACATACTTAATACACACACACACATATATATACATATATATATATATATATATATATATATATATATATATATATATATATATATATATATATATATATATATATATATATATATATATATATATATATATATATATATCCTCTGTATTGCCCAAACAATATTACCCGAAACATTTTAAGCATGCTAAGGTTATACCACTCAACAACAAGGTAACATCCAAGATCTTAATGACTATTGGCTAATTTCAATACTTTCTTCCCTCTCCAAACCATTAGAAATGCATATAAACAAATGTCAGTCAAACTACCTAGAAAAGCACAAGCTTTTCCACAGTAATCAATCTGGGTTTAGAAAGCTTCATTAAAATGAATAAAACCTGGCTAAAATATTAACAAAAACCTACTTTGTGGCACAATGTCCTTCGATTTCTGAAAAGCCTTTGATTCTATTGATCACACCATACTTCTTACAAATTCTACAAATTTACTGTCAGGTTACTTCATTCATTATCTAACAAATCTCAACGCGCGTTTCACCTTAATATAATCTCTTCTAAGAAATATGGTAATATAATATTTCAGATTCTTATGTTAAAGTTTTAACCCGCGTTGAGATATGGTCTGTGACGATTTAAGTTTTTCTTACACAATAAATACACTATGCATAAAATAGTAAGCCCACAAGAAAGAAGAAAATAATACATTTTATAGAATTTGAATAGATAGAGGCCCTACATTTTAATATATTGAGTGTCGACTAGTGTGATTTTATTATTTTTACGCCAGTGGCATAGACAGAAGAGTGTTGTTCGCGAGTTGAGAACCCCTTAAATTACAAAAAACTACACATTAATCCAATGGAACTTCACAAAAAAAACTGGAGGATCTCGAATTTGCTATTGAGATCTGCCTACTATCTCACAAACAACAACAAGCCCAAACCAAACTGAATCGCCTATCTAAGCCTCCACTAAGTATGGGGGTCATCCATAAATGACGTCACACTCGTAGGGGGGAGGGGAGGAGGGTCCGTAATTTTGTGACGATGTGTGATGAGGGGGAGAGGGGGGGTTCAGATGTTGCGACGTCACATTTTTGCATTATAAAAAAGCAATGTTAGAAAACGAATTTTAGACGTTATTTCGCGTTTTAGATAACTGTTTTATAAATTGTAATAGTTTAGACAAGATTTTGGAAAAATATCGATGTTTTAAAAAAATTCAACTGCAATTTTGAGGGGGGGGGGGGGTTGTAGGTTGAGGTGTGACGTCATTTTAGGGGGGGGGGGTCTGGCTTTTTGTGACGACGTGTGACGGAGGGGATGTAAAAATCGTCAAAAAAGCGTGACGTCATTTATGGATGACCCCATGACTCAAAATCATAATAAATAGAACAGATATCGTTAGAATCAATAACAAGCAGAACCTGCCCATACAACTAAAACGTACGAGAGACAAACAAATTCTGTATCTGGGAAGTTAGAACAACGCGGACGAATGGGGCGCCAAACGGGTTTAAAAAATTTAAATTCTCTTTCTGAACTGCGTTACTTAATTATACACGGTCAAAAAATAAGAATACTGAATGCTACTTGGGTTTAGGCCACTTATTTAACTGTGTTTTACATTCGTTGTGTGACACCAAAACAAAAACTTTTATAAGGGACAGTAACTGGTAAAAACACCGCGATCTTTCCCAATTTTGGGGGAATAACTATATACAGAAGTGGGGCGCAAATTTGATAGTTCACCAGAATTGGTCTCTACGCATCTGAGCTAATGAGGACATAAAAAGCTATATCAACAAGGCCAAGTGTGATTTCAACTCATAACTCCCGATCAGTGTTTCTTCCAGACTTTTTTCTCCGGGGGGGGGGGGGGGGTAGACTTTCTTCGGGGGGGGGGGGGGGGGGGAGGGCGCGGACACTGCTAAAAGTATATATTTTCTATATAAATTTCACTTCGAAAAGATGCCTGGAAGAAACTCTGCTCACGATTAGGACTTACACAGCCTTGTGATTCAAGAACAAGATAAAAATTTCAACACAAAATTTATTTTAAGGTCGTATTGCTGTATGGCTGGGAGATGAGAGGAGTAACCAGGTCAAATACCAACAGTGAACAGAATACAGTCGTTCACAAATAGATGTCTACTTCAAATCCTTAAGGCAGGATGACAATTACATAACCAACGATCCGAAAACCTATGGCAAACCATTAAGCAACAGACAATTGACATGATTATAACAGCCTGCAAATTGAGATAGATCGGGCACATCCTGAGCAGTGTTTCTTCCAGACTTTTCTCTCCGGGGGGGCACTTGAAATCTTCGGGGGGGGGGGGGGGGCGGTAGACTTTCTTCGGGGGGGCGGACACTGTTAAAAGTATATATTTTCTATATAAATTATATAAATTTCATTTCGTTCGGGGGGGGGGGGGGGGGGGGGGGGCGGTAAAAATTTTTCGGGGGGGGGGGGCTTCGCCCCCCCGAAGAGATGCCTGGAAGAAACTCTGATCCTGAGAAGGAATGAGATCAACATCGCGAGGCAAATGTTGGACTAGAACCCCTAGGGGAAAAGAATAGTAGACCGAGCCAGGCAATCATGAAGGATAGTGGAAGGAGAAACAAAGCCTGCATGGGCTCAAATGAAGAGAACTACCTGCAACGGAGTCCGGTGGAGAGGGGTGTAGCTGCAGCCTTTTGTTCCTTATGGGTCCTAAAAAATAAAGTTAAAGCACATATCGTATTGAACTTATTTTTAAGGTGTTATAATTATAATTGATAATAAAACATAGCACTAGTTCTACTAATTATTTTTAAAAAATGCGAATCATTGGGGTTTAAAAAATACTACGCGCGAAAACTCTGGCACTAACAAAATGAGTCAGTGTTGATGTGAGTGGTGCCTTTGAATTTGAAGTAATCTAATCAGCCATACTGAGTCAAAGACAATTAATTGGCAAGAAATTAGCCTAATAATTTGATCTAGTATTCTATTCTATATACTAGAATCTAGACTAGAGTCTAGATCTAATTTATTTTTTTCGGTGTTTAGTGCAACCTTTTGGTCGCTGTTTGTTATTGTTTACTAGAAATCTAGATCCACGAACTTTTCTACCCAGTCAGAATAAATTTTTAAAGAATAATTTTCATGGCCATGGAAGTAGGGAATGCAAAGACCAAAGGACTGTGTGAAACAATGTGTCCCCGACAAGAAATAATGTTGTGAGTATTTATAGTATTTTTTAGCTACTAGATCTAGATCTAGATCCAGATCTACTCTACTACTACTACTTAATCAATCTTATTAAAAACTTAATTCTTCTAAAAATCTAAATGGTAATTTCAACTAGGCTACTACTACTACTAGAATAAGAAGATTAATAAATGGTTTTAGTTTTAGAAATATATTTTTAAAATAAATACTTTACTTTCCAGGCGTACTCGAGAGAAGCTTGTTCATCCTTTTGAACTGACTTTGGACAGAAGTGACAAGTATCCTGGAAGGTAGTTCAGAAAAGAACATTATCTCATAGCGTGATTTTTTCTTACTATTCATACATAATTTATTACAGTGTAGGCTGATCTGTTATTAAGTGTCTTACGTTAAATAATGTATAGTTTGTTAAAATAAATGTAAAATTTATATAGACTAGGGGCTGATGAGGCAACGATGGTGAAAGAGTTTTCTAGGCCGGCAGCTGGACGTGCAGACACAGAGCCTAGAAACCTGCGCCCAGCACCAGTTCTTAAGAAGACTGTAACATATTTATATGAGACGTGAGTATCTTAATAAATTTCACATTTGGTAGAAATTTTAAAAACAATTTCCAACTTTTAAGTTTTAATCATATATTTTGTATTTTGAAAAGAAATATAGTGTATATAATTTCAACCAATAAGTTCCAATACACTTAACCTGCAAGATGCACCGTTCTCCTCTTATTTGTATTATAATTTCTTTTATCACAACATGTATAACGAGTATTTTTTATTATACCCTGATAGATAGGAATGATTTGTTGCTTCTTCATGTTTTAAAAGTCTTGTAAATTACAATGAATAGGCCTATCTAACAAACTTATAATATTGTTTATTACTGTGACGAAATTATAAGTAATGTTATGAGTGGGTATGTAATTTTTATTAAAATTGTCTTAGCCACCACACAAAATTTCAGTTAGGGACTTTTTTTCACAGTATAATACCAAAGGAGCATCCTGCATGGAATAATGTGTATGATTTTGTGTTTGATCGTTTGCGTGCAGTCAGGCAAGATATGGTCATACAAGGCATAGTAGGTGTGGATGCAATTGAGCTACTGGAGAAAATAGTTAGGTTTCATCTCTATGCAGCATACAGGTAAAATTGTTTTTTTTTTTTTCAAAAATAATTTTGTTACTAATATATTTCATCTGTTAGAACAATTGAGGCAGCCAAATTTGATGAGATGGGTTTGATAATTATTGATGACATGGATAACAAACATGTTTTTTTTTTAATTTTGCATAAAAGCAGCTGTAAAAAACAAACTCAATCTGAAATAAAATCTTTTTAAATACAGAAATTTTATATTTTTAGAATAAATATTAAAACAGGGAACTTGAAAATAAGTTTTTGCGTTTGATGCTACATTTCTATTTATTGTCATCAAGCTTAAAATATAACCTGAAATTTCTCTTTGGTAAGACAAACTTTAACTTTGGCCTTATAGAAACTCTGTGATTGATATTCTGAAAACCCTACTTTGTAGTGATTTGTACTGAAAACTTTGCTGGTAAAATTTTGAAATAAAATTAGTTTGGCTGCTAGCCGAAAGTCTGGAGTTTGGATCTTGGTTCGTACTTGTGACTGTAGGACGTCCCTGAGTCCAAGCAGCTCTGAAGGTACTTGACTCACATTGGGTAAAGCAAAGGCATCTGGGCATAGTGCTGACCACACCATCCCTTCATATGTAGAAATCTAGAAACATAAACTCTACTTCATCTGCCCAAAGGATTGCTAATTCTTAAGAGGAGCTTTACTTATTTATTTTAATAACATTGCCACAAATTTTAAAAATCTTAAAAAATCATTTGAGACTATTCTTAGCTGTGTCCATCAGCATTAATCAGTATTGTATATTTCCTGTGAACTTCTATTATTTTAGGGTTATAATTTTGGGGAAAGGGAGCACCACTGCTAGGAAGTGTAGGACTATTACGCCTCTAAAATAACATACCATTTTGAGAAATGTTGATACCATGTTTGATAAAAAGTGTGAGTTCAATGAACCTTTTATATGTTTGTGAGTCCTCTGGCTAAATTGGTTGGCTGACTTGTTGTAGACTGATTAACCCCTCCCCCCCCCCCTCCCCCCTTGCTGAATCAAAATTTCACTGATTACAGTTTACACATATTTACTTCTAAATATACCATTTAAGTGATATTATTATAGCAATATTATGTTTACAATAAATTACATGCAAGCAGCATCTATTTAACATTTTACAAAACTAAATTTTATTGTAACTTTTATTCTTTTCTCTTTATATCTAGACTACAAGATACTACTTTGTCTGAGTTTGACCCAGTTATTAACAAGCAGCATTTACTTGAGTGCTTAAAAAGACTTCTATATCTTTATCAGGTTGGTTTTGTTTTGTTTTTTTAATTTAAGAAAATAATCCTAAGCAATTTAACAGATTTTAAAAATATTTTTTAACCTTCTTCTACTCGGGTACAGGTTAATGTTACAGCCATTCTCCTTATCAGTTTTTCCTCAAGTTGCAGAATTTATATATTATTAGTTTATTTTTGTTTCTGAATATCCAGTAAATCGCTGTTGTAAAAAATGTGTGGGGTGTACGGAATTTATTGTAATGTCTTCTAATCAAGTCTTAAGTCGGTAGTTACTTAATGTTGTAACTTGTTGTCTTTAAAACTGTTACACAGGTGACCCCTGGGAAACATGAACACAGAGTAGAAATGGAAAGCGTTTATTTACTGGACAATCTCGGGGATGTGCATGCCATGACACACTACCTACACTTGGACCCAGCCCTTAGGTTAGATCTAAAAATAATTTTGTCCACATCTCTTTTACTTTTTAAAGGCATTTATTACTTCACTAAGTATGTGTCCCATTGTCCTATTGAGCTGAAATTGCACACAGTCTTGGATGACAATGCAAAAATATCTCATTTTTTTATTTTTAATCTATAACTCTACTCTTTTCGGCCTATATACAGCTTATAATTATTATCAGTCTAATTATTTTAAAACTTACATTGAAACGGTTATATATTCAAGCTAAGCCCTAAATACATTTTGCTGCATGAATTACTGATTAAAGTGTGTTACAATTGAGCTTAATTGTGCTCTCTAATTAAACCTTTAATATTGTGAGGTCAGTCTTGGGCTTAAGATCATAGGACATCCTGAGTCCACTCTGTTTTCATCACTACCTAAAAATAGCTTGGGGGAGATTACTGGACATGGTTCTGACTACACAATACTTTTACACCTTAAGGTCACAGCAAATAAATTAACCACTACCTTTATTCTAGGGACCAACAGGACTAAAACTGTACTTTTTTTTTTTATCAATCATTTAAAACAAATTTAAAAAAAAAAAACCATAATTAAGTAATTAAAGGAAATGAAATTATGTTTTTGAATTGACTTAATCCTGAGGAACAAAGGGCTGCAACTACACCTCTCCACCAGACTCTGTTGTGGGCAACTCTCTTTAGTTGCGTCCATGTAAGCCACCTTGTTTTTCCCACTAGGGGTTCCAGTTTAACTCTTGCCTTGAAGTAAGTAATGACCTTAAAAGAGCTAACATTCTTACATACATTTTCTATTTGCAGGAAATCGCCACTACTATTTCAGTGCTACAGAATCAATGATGCTTATGTTCAAAGCTAACATTCTTACATACATTTTCTATTTGCAGAAAATCACCACTACTATTCCAGTGCTACAGAATCAGTGATGCTTATGTTCAAAGCTAACATTCTTACATACATTTTCTATTTGCAGAAAATCGCCACTACTTTTCCAGTGCTACAGAATCAGTGATGCCTATGTTCAAAGAAATTATGTTCGAGCACTGCGTCTAATTTGGAAGCTGCCCTGTGCAATGTGCCTCTGTGCTGTTAGCAGGCACCTGCATAGTTTACACATGTGAGTACACATTGGTACACATGTTTCTCCCATTGGTACACATGTGAGTGAATGTTTCTCCCATTGGTACACATGTGAGTGAATGTCTCTCCCATTGGTACACATGTGAGTGCATGTCTCTCCCATTGGTACACATGTGAGTGCATGTCTCTCCCATTGGTACACATGTGAGTGCATGTCTCTCCCATTGGTACACATGTGAGTGCTTGTCTCTCCCATTGGTACACATGTGAGTGCATGTCTCTCCCATTGGTACACATGTGAGTGAATGTCTCTCCCATTGGGGCTGTTCATAGATAGGGTAGTAGAATGTGCAATGCTAAGTCAAACTTTTGACTAGGCAAGTTTTCAAAGATCACCTCATAATATCTAATACTGCTTACATTAGCTATGAAAGAATGGATAGGTAAGTGTTGAAGAATATGGGAGCCAAAGATGGCCAACATCATAACAATCATCTACTCCTTAATTGCTTGTTCTGTCTTTAAATATATAAGAACTTGCAATTTTATTTACATGTTATATTCATTGCTTATTTATATCATAATCATGAAATCACTTGTTTTATTTGTTAAAAAAATATCACTGTGAATTTACCTAGTAAAACATGTTCTAATAGTTCTATTATTATATTTCCCCATTAGTGTTGATATTCATAATTCTGATAACTCTTGAAAGTTGTTTAATTCTTTACAGTCTAACAATTATTTTTAGCTATACCTCTCACCAAGACCATCAGGAAGAATTAGATTAGTTTTTTAATTGACGTTATATCTCTTTATAATTCATTTCGAATCAACCACAAATAAAATTAATATTGCATGATAGATGTTTTCAATGACAATAAAAAAAAAACTATGTTATATTTCCTTTTGGATATTATTCTGACAATTTAATCTTAAACTGTTTTTTTATAAGAAAATTAATATCAAAACAAAGGCTGTATACTGATTTAATTAACACTTGAAGGCTCTAGGTTAAAGATGATTTTGCTTGAGACTGTAAAGTTTTAAACTGTTAATTTTTAAAAATAGACTCATTCCTTTAAACAGATTCATGTCCATTAAAAAAGATTTCACTACTGCTTCTACAGAAATTTCCTCCAAATACTTTCATCTGCATACAGTGTCAAGAACTGCAGGTTTCCTGTTCATTACCTTACATTACTTTTATACACAGACTCTGAAAAAGAAACAAATGATCTGTGTATGCAATGTGGGCTCATTGATATGTTTGACAATACTAGTCAGGAGTATATTTGCTTCAACAAGGCGTCTTTCCATATACCTAAAGAGTTAAAGGTAAACTTTATAGATAAGTAGTAAATGGCATATTAAATGCCACTCGTATAAAGAGCTTTACACTATATGCTATCCTGAAAGGATGGGTCCACGCTCATCAAACTGATAGGTACCTGACTTCAGTCAGAGTAAAAGGTGACCTGACACACTAGTGGTTAGTTCTTTCCAGTGCAGTGATCACACATACTTAACTTCATCTAATATCTTGACCATGGGGCCCAAAATGGTTCATCTTATGTCTTGACCATTGGGCCCAAAATAGTTCATCTGATGTCTTGACCATGGGGCCCAAAATTGTTCATCTTATGTCTTGACCATTGGGCCCAAAATAGTTCATCTGATGTCTTGACCATGGGGCCCAAAATGGTTCATCTTATGTCTTGACCATTGGGCCCAAAATGGTTTATCTGATGTCTTGACCATGGGACCCAAAATAGTTCATCTGATGTCTTGACCATGGGGCCCAAAATGGTTCATCTGATGTCTTGACCATGGGGCCCAAAATAGTTCATCTGATGTCTTGACCATGGGGCCCAAAATGGTTCATCTGATGTCTTGACCATGGGGCCCAAAATGGTTTATCTGATGTCTTGACCATGGGACCCAAAATGGTTTATCTAATGTCTTGACCATGGGGCCCAAAATGGTTCATCTGATGTCTTGACCATGGGGCCCAAAATGGTTCATCTGATGTCTTGACCATGGGACCCAAAATGGTTTATCTAATGTCTTGACCATGGGGCCCAAAATGGTTCATGTCTTGACCATGGGGCCCAAAATGATACTTGCTCCGGTGGTTTCATTGCCTCAGCAACTGTGCAGCAGAATTGTGTATAAGCTGACTCCCTGGTTCCTCTGGAATTTTTATCTTCTTCTTCGTTCTTAACTTTAGTGTTGGAAGGGATCCCCCTCCAAAACAATTAAGGATACGTTTCAACTGGTTATGCGCCATTGAGTCCGATTTCAGCCTGGTTTTCTTTTTGGATTTGCTTCCATAGCCTTTGTCCAACCAAGAACAAACTACAAGGCAGCAGTTGTTTGATTTTGGAGTTGTCTCTCCTAGAAGAGTGGCTGTCCCCAGCTTACGAACCTCATCTGCCCGAGGGTTCGAACTCGAGACTTTTAGCAGCTTTGAGCTTACTCGACTCAACCAGGCCGACCCCCCCAGTTGACACCATAAAAGATGAGGGTTAAGCACCTTAGGTGTCCCTGACCCTAACTGCTTAAAATATTTAGATGCTGTGTCAACCAGTCTATGATTACCAATACTAGTAAAACACACCCACTGCGGTAGCAATATTTTGCTGCAGTAATAGGTGAGCTCTGCTTATCATCATTTATCCAACTTTATATATTATCCACCTATGCCACATTGCTGTGCATAGTTCATAGAAACATGGGAACTCCTACCCATGGATGGACAAATTAAAAAAAAGTAACTTAACAAATATAGCAGTTTGTTGATGCACTATGCCAATAAGTTTGTGTTTTGCAACTCGGAGAGGCATACTATCACCTAAAACAATCCTTAAAAAAGCCTGCTTGTCCCCTACCCACTGTTTTCTTACAAACGTTTTTCAAACCAATCTGTCCATGCAAATACCTTTAGTCTACTTTAATTTTATCATTTCTAATTTTATTCTAATAGATTTTGACCTATAACCTGTATACCACTGTGGTACTAGATAGTTGCTACCTCTGGTAGATGCTTACATTGATACCTTTGTTTATTCCAGCAAACACCATCAAGAATAGCCATCTTAGACAAGATGCTACAAACATCAGATATTTCGTATCTGTTACTGGGAAAATAACAGTGTTACTATAAAACTATAAGTAATAGTAATATTATTATCTTTTTTAACAAATCAAAAGGTTATGTTTTTTGTAAAAAAAAAAACAACTTTTTTTGTCATTAAAAGTTGAATTTATTTTAAGTAGTTTGTAATGTTTTTATTTTAAATTGTAGTTTCATCAGACAAGTAATTTTCAACAATTCAGTTTACTCTAAAAGTTAACACTTTCTGACCTAGCGACAGTATGGCAGGTGAAGTGGAAATCATCGGTTACTGTGAGCTTGGCATATATAAAAGGATAGTGTGGTCAGTACTATTCCCCAAGAACTCTAGTACAGGATCAGAAGAATTTTGGATTGGCAGTTATGAGCTTTCCCATGCAACACTATCACATTAAATACAGTAAACATCTTATGGAAAGTATTCATTATTCCTATTTATTTCAAGTATACCAGTACTAACATAAACAATCTTATCTGTTATTGCTGGCAGTAGTTTCATTGCCTTGCACTAGAACTTTTGTTTAAAAAAAAAAGTCCTACCAGAAGACATTGAGAACCTTTACCATACTAATACTACTTTTTAAGCTCACATTGTTATTCAGCAATGTATACATAGAATGTTATTATATTGCCGGAGGTAGACATTAGTATATTATGAGGTCCCAGTAAAGACAGCAGTCTACAGCCAGATGAGATTCGATTCGAACCCCACCATTCCTCACAGCATCAATTCGCCTCGCCTACTGTGCTCAGATCAGAAGTGTAAGCACTTTGGCCAGCTAGTTCCATAAAAATGAAATCTGACCACTTGTATTCTGTAAACTTTAGAAGTGGGGAGGCATGAGCTCTAATCTTGAAAGGTGTAAACTGACCTCCGAAACACAACTATGGACTATTAATAGTACCAAACAAGTGACATTTAAAGAATACAACCACATAGTAACTTCCTTTGATATTTAAACTGTGAGGTCCTTTTGGAAATAAATTATTCTCTTAAGTGTTACTAAATATGAGAATACCATGTGCCCAATACAATGCTTAACTTCTGCCCCACAACTATGAAACTGGTTGCAGTAAAAATCTTCATGCAACATGATATAGGAAGCCTAAATATCAAAAAGAAAGCACATTTAATGAAATATGTCAAACCATGAAATATGTATTACAGATCGATTATTACTTATTAAGAAATAATAGTACAAGTATGGAAACAAATTTAAACCACACCTGGAAGAAATTTCACATTCAATTTTATGACCAATTAATAAAATGAAAGTAAAATGTTAACAAAATTTTCTTAGTTTTATGCTGTTAGGAATATATTTGTCATCACTCATTCATTGTACATGCATATGTAAAATGTATTTTTTTTTTTAAATTGAAGAGTTTACCAGTAAAATTATTGATCACATTTTTAATAAATGAAATGTTTACATAAAACAGTATACAAATCATTAAAATTGATTAATCTGACATTTACATAAAATAAAAATAATTGTCAACATCAGTTGTATAGTTTTCTATCAAAATTAAAGCAAATCACTTCAAACTGCAAATCAATTTAAGTAATTGTGTCCGCATTCAAAAGAAACAGTCTTTATGCCAACAGAATTTTAAAAGGCTTATTGGTATGCAAGCAAATAACATTTCAAAAAGGCTCATCAACAAATGGCTTTATACAGATCACACATGATGGCGACACTTTGATTTTGAACTCCATGAAGCTGCTGATCAGCTGCTTGCGCGACAGCACAATAGGTAATATAAAACTGCTGCTACAAAATAAAATTAACATTGCTGTAAAAGTTGTTCTTCTACAAGGCAATGGCAAATTCTGTGAAAATAAGAAAAGCAAATATGAAAAGAATAATTCAAAGTATTTTTTAAAATGAAAAAAAAAAACTGAAATGCAACAATACTGTAAATGTAAATTCTTTAACATGACATGAAGTTTATGTTTAGATTTTTAAAACCAAATAAGTGTCTAGAGATGGGCCTATTTATGAAGTAGAGAATAAAGAATATTACCTTAGGATTTGAACTTTATTTTAATCTAATTAATGGGGTAGAATATGGAGATCATTGTACTATAATTATCAATGCCTTTTATTAGTGTTTTTCATATTTTGCTATTCATAGTGGTTGTATGGCTTGGGAATTCTTTTCTCAAATACAACATAATCAGCTTCTGGCTGTCCAAATATTTTAAAACTGCATAACTTAAGTAGTTACTGGAAATGTTAGTTAATATCTTGAGGTAAGATGTCAATTAAAATGTATTGGGTTATAGGTAATTAGTTGATTCTAAGATTTCTTTAAAGATAATTTTGAGATATGTGAGAGTTACATTGTACTTACAGAGAAAGGCGACCCCCATTGCTGCCTTTTGGTTGGTGCATTTGATGAGTACAGTCTTGACACTGTCAGATTTAAAGATTTTGTTAATTGCAACATCATTCTGTGGAAATTATATGAATATGTTAAAAGAGGCTTTTTCAAAAATCAAATATAGGCCTATAATTAATTATAATATAATAAATTTTCTTAGAAAATAAACATCTTGTATGAAAGTTTTATTGATTTGGCCCTAAATTTTAAAAAGGCCTACACCAAATAAGCCAAATTGATCGAATCTGTAGAAAAGTAATTCATACAGAAACCACACAATCAATTTTCTACAACCAAAATAGTAAATACAAATCAGATCTAGATCTAGATTCTAGTCTAGTTTTAGATTCTAGTCTAGTTTTAAAAATTTAAATACCACAGCGTTGCATGTGTCTTCTTTTATTAATACTAGATTAGCTAGCTGCTAGTCTAGTCTAGCTCTAGCACATATCCATGGGGTGTATACCATCATTTTACCATGCCATATGCATGTTACATGTAAAATAATATTAAATATTTATTATCATAATTAATATTAATAAATATTAAGGGCTAAGGTCAGTAAACTGAGTAAAGTTAAAGAGTAAAAAAATGTGTCACATTATCATATGATTATTGTCAGTAAAAAATGTCATTAAATGATAATTTATTAATTTAAAAAAACCCACTTGAAGATCAGACTTGAATTAATAAGGCCCTTATAACGGGTGACGCGTAACATAGAAATCCAGAGATATTAAAACTAGATCTAGATCTAATGCTAAACAATCTAGAGTAGTCAATCTCGACCTAGGGTATTGTCTTCACTCTTTGAGTATTTATAGAAAAAGAAAAAAATCCTGGATGTAATCTGATATAGAATCTAGATTCTAGATCTAAATATAGATCTACAGATTTTTTTTCTTCTAGACTAGTAATAGAATCTAGCTCCCGACAATGTGGCTGATTTTTTTCAAGAGTATTGCAAATAATTTAGTGGATCCACGTGGGTGAATACATAATAACTACGCCAAGTCTCTTTTACCAAACTAAATTAGATTTGGTCTAGATTCTAGATGTATAGAATCAATCTCAATCTAAGTTAGTTATTCATCGTTTCATAGCGACTAACAATTTCATAGACGAATAACTATTCCCGTTGATAGAAACCAATTTTTTTTGCAGCAAAATTATTTTTGCATGCATGAAAATGAAAGCCAATTTTCCCCCATTTGTTTTATTTACTGGTAGCCTATGTGTCAGAATGATATAGATCTAACTAGACCACCCGTCATCCTTTGGATAACTGTGGGTTAAGGGGTTATTCAAATAGGACTTTTTGACGACTTTTATGTCTCCACCCGCCCCCTCCCACATCGTCACAAATAGCCTGACCACCACATATTTTTGTGTGTAACTTAAGAACCAGGTTTTGTTTTTGTCAAAACGGGTATCATAAAGAAAAGTTAAGGGTCCTGCACTGTATGCAATTTGTTTAAAAAGAACTATTTCGTCGACATTACATTTTAAGTACACTTTACAGTAGAGCAAAGTGAACTATATTACACACTCAGATTATCAGATTGAAATAATACTTAAGTGTTTTGGGCTATTTACTTTATGTCCTAATGAAAAATACAATTTTATGTTACTCATTTGAATCGTTGAAAGATAATTATAGGTTATTAATTAAAGTGCTGTTTGTGTGTGTTTAAAAAGAAACAAAACAAAATATAATAACAACACATAGACAATAAAAAAATTATTTTATAATGATAGAATATTTTTAAAAAATGAAAGTATACCATTTAAAATGGTTTCAAATAAATTAATTAAAAATACAGATTTGTTATTATTAGAACTATTATTATCAGAGTAGTAATAAAAAAAGGTGTAATATGACATTTTGCTGGCCTAGTAAAAGCTATAATATTCACAATTAGGCTACATATTGGATCATCAAATAAATACGATTTTGGACCAACAATGTAAAAAGATAATAAACTTCTAGATTTTAGTTTTTATTCACACATCATCAGAGATATTGAACTACTGGAAATTTCTTTTTTTTTTTTAAAAAAACTTTAAAAAGTTGTTTACGATGAAACTGTTAAATCATATTTATTTGCATAAGGAAATATCTGTATTAATTGATGAATGTGATATCCAAATATTTATTTAGACCTACACCATGGCAACATAGGTCTAACTATTTCCTGCTTAAAGCTTCTACAGTAAAACCAGAACATCAAAAACAACAAAATTGAATTTATTGCAAAATACTTCTAATGACTACATTCCTTGTAAATATGCTATCTTTTAAAAGCACCTTAACATTTTCCTTTCTTCTTCCTCGGCTAAGTGCTACATATAACTGACCATGCTGAAATACAGGTTTTTCTAAGTAAATAAGGACATTTTCCATGGTCTGCCCTTGAGCCTTGTGTATTGTCATGGCAAAACATGACTGGACTGGAAACTGTGTTCTTTGTAGGGGAATATCGTCGCCTTCAGTTAATTTTACTGTTATTCTTGGTATTAAAACAGTTTCGTTTTGATATTGTCCTATAAGTATTTTAGCAACTATAAGGTTGTTGTGCAACGCTTGAATTATTAGTCTAGTTCCATTGCACAATCTTGGGGGATCAAGATTTCGTAACAGTGCTATAGGGGAACCTATTTTTAGTTCCAACCTATGCGGTGGCAGACCAGACAACTCAACAGAATCTAAAAATTCAGTGGGAAAATGTGCAGAGTCAGTTCCTTCAATTACAGAGTTGAAAGAGAAATATTCTTTCAACTGACCGGGAAATTCTCTTATGCACATTGAATTTATTGTTCTTAAATTTTCATTCAATGGCACCAAAATGCATCTTTTTGAAAATACCACCTTGGGTTCTTCAAATGAAGGGTATATGTTTTTCATACATTGTTCGATAGAAATATTGTTGAGGACCATATCTTCCGGTAATTCTATTTCCCCATTTTCATTTGTAGGTACTTTACCTTCCCCAACGTTCAATAAGAACCTGCTGTAGTCAATTTCTCCTTCTTCAAGACGCATGTTTAAATTCAAATTAAACTTTGTAAATAACTCCCAAAGGTAAGATTTTTTAATGGAGGCATTTTGTATGTCTACTTCGTTTCCACGCTTGACTACAGGCAGAAGCTGTCGAAAATCTCCACAGCAAATAGTGATGATGCCTCCAAAAGCGACGTCCTTATGACAGACATCGCGCAGTGTTCTGTCAACAGCTTCAAAACATTCTCGTCTGGCCATGGAGCATTCATCCCAAACAATCAGCTTTGTTTGGCGGAGAAGACCTGCGGTATTCGAGTTCGTTTCTATGTTGCATACTGAATTGTCATCTACTATTATTGGGATTTTAAAACGGGAATGGGCAGTTCTGCCACCAGGCATCAATGTTGCTGCTATACCTGAAGATGCCACTGCAAGGGCGATATCTCCTTTGGCTCTTACCAGTGATATTATTAAATTTATGAGGAAAGTTTTACCTGTTCCTCCAGGGGCATCAATAAAAATCATGGATGGTTTATTTTCCTCAAGACACTCTAATACATAATTGTATACTGCTAACTGCTCACAGTTCAACATGGGTGCCTTTTCTCGGACGTAAATGGACAATTTTTCCCTGCAGTAGCTCGTCTCTTTGGTTATATCCTCATTGTGTCCAAGATAACGTAGAGAAGTTGGTGTCGGCAAACTGTAGTCAGCGAGTCTTTTGCCGTATGCTTCTAGCTTCTCTTGAATATATAAGAGTGCCTGGTCATGGTGATTTGGGTTCTCATTTGTGCGAGTAGACATGTCCGCCTTTAAGTAGTCCTGTGACATAGAGTTTTTAAACTGCTCCCACAGCTCTTTAGGGTTGACAATTTCCTCATGTGTCAGCAGGACTACAAATAAATCTCGCATAGCCCTCGGCAGTCTCGTGTTTTCTGCATCTAGTAATGTCTGACGCCAGTGATCATCAGTCTGTAAGAGGCCCCTTGCTATACACGCTGTTTTGAATGTGGCCAAGGTTTTTTCATCGTGTTTTTTTAAATCATCGAAAGATTGCGGTCCTTTTACGTGGTGCAGAAGGAGCCGTAGATAGTACAATTCACCACATCGTGGTGAAACTGTGTAGACCCGTCCCAAAACATTGGCCTCAAACCTCCCTGGATGATTTGGGTTTTCTTTTCCAACCTTTCTTCGCTGCCATTGCTTATTGGCCCAGGTAAAGTACCGTGGTACTTCAGCATAAAACAATGTTCTGGCAAAGTGGTCATCTGTGTTTAATTTCATAAACTGGGTTAGAGTTGTTTTACACATCTCTGTGTTTGTAAGCCCAGCAGTGTCTTGAAAATAAACATGTTGTTCGTCGGGAAGATGGACTTGCAGCCTAACTACCGGGGGGTCTCTTTCATGAACCGGAAATCCTAAAATGGACGAAACAGCTTCAGATGGGCCAATGTAGCGGCCTGCCAAATACTGGGCAATTTCGTCGTTTTGCTTGAGACCAAACATTGCCTGGTCACTGCCTTTTAGTGTGTATTTAACGACATATTTTATTGATTTAACCGAAGTGCAGACTTCCACATTCAAATGACAGTTAAATATTTTCAAGAGCTGCATATTGTGAGGGACGACCCACTCAGATGTTATTGGTGTTCCCTCTCTCCCTTCTTTGTAGCCGAAAAATCCACCCATATCCACCGATCTTCTCCTATATACGGGATATGAATCCTCTCCACACATTGTGTGTTCGGCGAAAGATTTAGGATAGCGTTTAGAACACGCGCCATTTTTCCAACAAGGAGATGTGACACAACAGTTCGGACCATGAATCATGTGCCTTAGAACTAAAGCGTGTCCCTCAGCATCTTCCAATGGGTTAGGTATCTCAGCCTGCACGTACTGGTCATACACATTTGGTCGAGGTTTGGTTTCTTCATCGAGCCAAAGTAAACAGTGCAGATGAGGCAGACCTCGCTTTTGGTATTCGGTGCTTATTATAAAAGCAATGCACCTGCCTAACAAACCGTCAGGCCCTGTCAAGTACTTGAGGAATAATTTTCTTTTTAATTCAAAAACTCTAGCAATAAGATCAGGTCTGTCATAAGGTTTTTGATTTAAAAATAAATTTTCCTGTATTTCTGGCCAGTCTGGATTACAGGTCATGGTTATGAAGAATGATGCATTGCCATATTTGCGTATGTACATCATGGCATCCTGGCATCTCTCCATCATGTACCTTGGTCCGCCGACAAAAGTTGACGAAAGAATGACGCGCTTGCCGATATTTTGTAGATCATCGTTATCGTTCAGTGCATCTGTAAGGCCTTTATAAGTAGATGATCGTAATGAAACTTGGTTAGTTCTTATAAAGTTCAGACGTTCGCCTTCCATCTTTGCAGCCATGTCGACCAAATATTGCTGGAACAGTCGTCCTCCCCTGAGTATGTGGTTAAATTCATGCTCGTGATTTTGTATGCGGAAAGAATAGTACCGCATAGCCGTTAACTTCTTTTGGTTTGTCAGCTGTAATTGACTGTGCCAACCATCTTCACCCCATGGAAAAAAAATAACATACTGCAAGCAGTCGTATGATCGGTGGGACTCGGATATTATTTGAACTTTTCCACCTTTTTGTTTTAACACCACATGCCTTGACGTTACTTCGGGGGAATTGTTATTTTCTAAAATAACCGCCACCTCATTGGCGGCCTGCGCATTAAACCTCCTCTCATGTTCCTGGGATGGCCGTCTGTTGGGGTCAATAACAATCCTAGCCTCTGGGATATCTTTAATTTGTTCTTTAGCTAGCGTCAGGGACCTAACATAGGGATTGTATGTTCTAAAAACGCCCTCTAACAACTCTACAATATCACGTTGAATCCCCCCGTTTTCTAATATATCCATTCTAAGTTTAACGCTGTCCTGTGGGTCTAAAAAGTAAATTTGTAGAAACTGTGCTTGTTTGTGGGGTTCTGGAATTAGGGAGCCTATATAATGATGGATTTGTCCTTGGATGATGACAGATGGGTTCCAGCCGCGCTTTTGAGAAAATACTTCCTTACCACCAAATGAAGTCATCTGGAACAGGCAGTTATACTGCCTTATGTTTTTTCTAAACTCCCTGGCGTCAGGCTGGTTACTACTGAACAGACGTTGAAGCTCATGTGGGAGTGGAGGCAGATTGGCCATATTGACTTTTCCGCTCATACAACAAAAGTTAGCAGTCTCTCCATGGAAGCGATAAGCACGGCAGTGGGCACAAATCTTATCCATGTGCCCAACATCGGCAGACAGAGGACGGTGTGTGCGGGCTATCGTAGTTCGGGGCGTGGTCATCTGCAATTGTTGCTGTTCTGTTTCACTAAGCAACATCTTTTTATTACGTTCTGTCTGATCTTTCAAACGTTTGTATCTATTAGTATCCGTCTCAGTGGTAATTCTATTTTTGTTTCTTATCGACATATTTTTCAATCGTTCAGATCTCTCTTCCCCGGTTTCATTCATCGTTTTATTTTTAGTCCGTACCGCCATATCTTTCAAACGGTTCAACCTTTCTTCTTCTGTCTCTGTGGCTATTTCTGATTTCCTTCTTTCTAACACTCTCTGTAATCGCTGCGACCTTTCTTCTTCTGTCTCTGTGGCTATTTCTGATTTCCTTCTTTCTAACACTCTCTGTAATCGCTGCGACCTTTCTTCTTCTGTCTCTGTGGCTATTTCTGATTTCCTTCTTTCTAACACTCTCTGTAATCGCTGCGACCTTTCTTCTTCTGTCTCTGTGGCTATTTCTGATTTCCTTCTTTCTAACACTCTCTGTAATCGCTGCGACCTTTCTTCTTCTGTCTCTGTGGCTATTTCTGATTTCCTTCTTTCTAACACTCTCTGTAATCGCTGCGACCTTTCTTCTTCTGTCTCTGTGGCTATTTCTGATTTCCTTCTTTCTAACACTCTCTGTAATCGCTGCGACCTTTCTTCTTCTGTCTCTGTGGCTATTTCTGATTTCCTTCTTTCTAACACTCTCTGTAAACGCTGCAACCTTTCTTCTTCTGTTTCGTCGTTGATATTATCTTTTGTTCGTTCTGCTTGCTCTTTTAGACGGTGTAATCTTTCTTCCTCTGTTTCATCTTCGCGCTGTTTATGTTTTCGTTCCCTATCTTTTTTTAGTCGTGCTGCTTTTTGCTCAGCAGTTTCATTTTCTCTCCTGCGCCTCGCCTGTTTAACCGCATCTGAACTCCAATTTGATTTTCCCTTTCTTTTTCTTCCCGGCATTTTTTTTCCAAACAACTGATAATATTAAAAATTAATAAAGACGTCCGTTCAGCAGATTGACACAACACTTATGTTGTATTTCGCATTAGAGTAAGCTTGTTAAATAACTTTCAAATGAAATAATAAATGCAGTCTTAAAAAGTCTGCTCAAAAGATGAAGATTGAACAGCGCTGCCTATGTCCACATTTTAAAAAATTCAGAGTTAGTTTACTTAAACTACTAACATTAAATAAAAATACGGTTGATGTGGAAAATCTACTATTAAAGACCACTGTCGACTTTAGATAGGGAAACAAACCAATGATACCATTATATTTAAAATAAGAAACACTGTTGACATTTATCATCTCTTCGCACACTGAACATTAACGTCTGCAAATTAATATATGTGTATGCACGTCATCACTTTTCGCTGTCTCTGCATTCTTACTCTATACTCTAAGCTGTCTAAAAGTGTTCTATTACATCATCGGTATATGTGTTGTACTCATTATAGTACAGCGATTGCGTCATCAACAACGGCGGTCTGTTTACTTTCAGCTAACTAAGGGACGCTACTCTGGGATGAATAGCGAAACAAAATTTAAAAAAAAAATAATTGAAATGACATGTCTCGAACCCATGCTACCCCCTAAATTAGCCAATTCCATAGAAACTTATTATCTAAATCTAGATCTAGATAGCATTATCTATATTCTAGATCTACGACTGAGCTATATCTAGAGTTTACGTTTATAATTTTGCAAAATTAGCAGTATAGAAGCCGCGTATAAATCTTAAATTATGCAAATAGAGGCCATGGAGCGAGCATTTCCTAATTAGCATATTTCATAGCCATACAAACAAAGATTTATATAAAATAATAAAGGTCTAAAATAGTTTAGCATATAGAAACTCGTTATTATTATTATTATTATTATTATCTAAATCTAGATCTAGATAGAATATATTTAGAATTTACGTTTACAATTTAGCAAAATTACCGGAATCAAAGCCGCGTATGAATCTTAAGCTACGCAAATAGGCCCTGCATACAGCATTTCAAAATTAGCATAGTCGAAACAAAGAATTAGATTTATACAAAATAATAAAGGTCTAAAATATTTTAGTATATAGAAACTCATAATTATCTAAATGTAGATAGAATTATCTATATTCTAGATCTACGACTGGTTTGCTTAAGTCTCGATTTTTTGGATTGTATTTATAACTAATAAATCGTTGATTTGACCTAGATTCTAGATTCTAGATCTAGATCTATAAATAACTTTTCTTCGACAGCTGATCTTTAGATCTAGAGAAATTTATTGTAAAACTAAATAAAAAGGCAGTTGAAAATTGATATAAGTGTTGGAACGTAATAAATACAGCAAACGGACGTATTGTTTAAGTTATAGCCGGCAGAAAATTAGCTTTGTAACGCGTTAAACTTTTGAATGGGCCACAAAGTCTATGATGGAGTGTGCCATTTTTATTGTACCAAAAATGTAAACACATCAAGGGACGTCACTATCCCCACAAAGTTTATTTGAAGTATTAACATTTTTTAAAAAATACGGTTAATTTAACTATGAATAAATCAATAAATTAATTAACGTCTTTAAATAAATTTGTGATTAACAGTCTGTCTGCATTAAAAAATTATTCTCTACCTACATACTATTTTACAGCTCTCCAGATAGAGCCGAACATATCAGGATACTTGATCAGGCAAACAAACAAACAAACAAAAAAACAAAAAAATAAATATTCAAACATGTAAACAAACTTGACTTTTAGTAGTATATAGATAGATAGATTGATAAGCCAAATAGTCGAGTTGCATTGACGTAGCCAGGTTTTCGGGTTTGGGGCACCTGCGAGGTATCTTGATATACGAGTCACTTCAACTAGATCTAATCTTTTTGGTGCCTTCCTCAGTGTTTCTTCCAGACTTTATTCTCCCGGGGGCACTTGAGATTTTCGGGGAATGGGGGGGGGGGGGGGGGGGGGGGCGGACACTAGTAAAAATGTATGTTTACTATATAAATTCCATCTCGTACGGGGGCGGAGGTGGGCGGTAGACTTCCTTCGGGGGGGGGGGGGGGGGGGGGCTTCGCCTGGAAGAAACTCGTCTTCCTCCATGTGACGACTTGGTCGGCATCTTTTGCTTTTGCCCTATGGATTCCAAGGTGAGCGCCAGTCTTCACTTGTTATGCTGGATACAGACTGTGTATGTGTGTGTGTGTGTGTGTTTGTGACCAATCCATCTTGTTATGCTGGATACAGACTTTCTGTGTGTGTGTGTGACCAATCCATCTTGTTATGCTGGATACAGACTTTCTGTGTGTGTGTGTGTGACCAATCCATCTTGTTATGCTGGATACAGACTTTCTGTGTGTGTGTGTGTGTGTGTGTGACCAATCCATCTTGTTATGCTGGATACAGACTTTCTGTGTGTGTGTGTGTGTGTGTGTGACCAATCCATCTTGTTATGCTGGATACAGACTTTCTGAGTGTGTGTGTGTGTGTGACCAATCCATCTTGTTATGCTGGATACAGACTTTCTGAGTGTGTGTGTGTGTGTGACCAATCCATCTTGTTATGCTGGATACAGACTTTCTGTGTGTGTGTGTGTGTGTGTGTGTGTGTGACCAATCCATCTTGTTATGCTGGATACAGACTTTCTGTGTGTGTGTGACCAATCCATCTTGTTATGCTGGATACAGACTTTCTGTGTGTGTGTGTGTGTGTGACCAATCCATCTTGTTATGCTGGATACAGACTTTCTGTGTGTGTGTGTGTGTGTGACCAATCCATCTTGTTATGCTGGATACAGACTTTCTGAGTGTGTGTGTGTGTGTGACCAATCCATCTTGTTATGCTGGATACAGACTTTCTGTGTGTGTGTGTGTGTGTGACCAATCCATCTTGTTATGCTGGATACAGACTTTCTGTGTGTGTGTGTGTGACCAATCCATCTTGTTATGCTGGATACAGACTTTCTGTGTGTGTGTGTGTGTGTGTGACCAATCCATCTTGTTATGCTGGATACAGACTTTCTGTGTGTGTGTGTGTGTGTGACCAATCCATCTTGTTATGCTGGATACAGACTTTCTGAGTGTGTGTGTGTGTGTGACCAATCCATCTTGTTATGCTGGATACAGACTTTCTGTGTGTGTGTGTGTGTGTGTGTGTGACCAATCCATCTTGTTATGCTGGATACAGACTTTCTGTGTGTGTGTGACCAATCCATCTTGTTATGCTGGATACAGACTTTCTGTGTGTGTGTGTGTGTGACCAATCCATCTTGTTATGCTGGATACAGACTTTCTGTGTGTGTGTGTGTGTGAACAATCCATCTTGTTATGCTGGATACAGACTTTCTGAGTGTGTGTGTGTGTGTGACCAATCCATCTTGTTATGCTGGATACAGACTTTCTGTGTGTGTGTGTGTGTGTGACCAATCCATCTTGTTATGCTGGATACAGACTTTCTGTGTGTGTGTGACCAATCCATCTTGTTATGCTGGATACAGACTTTCTGTGTGTGTGTGTGTGTGTGTGACCAATCCATCTTGTTATGCTGGATACAGACTTTCTGTGTGTGTGTGTGTGTGTGACCAATCCATCTTTTTATGCTGGATACAGACTTTCTGTGTGTGTGTGTGTGTGTGTGTGTGTGTGTGTGACCAATCCATCTTGTTATGCTGGATACAGACTTTCTGTGTGTGTGTGTGTGTGTGACCAATCCATCTTGTTATGCTGGATACAGACTTTCTGTGTGTGTGTGTGTGTGTATGTGACCAATCCATCTTGTTATGCTGGATACAGACTTTCTGTGTGTGTGTGTGTGTGTGTGTGTGACCAATCCATCTTGTTATGCTGGATACAGACTTTCTGTGTGTGTGTGACCAATCCATCTTGTTATGCTGGATACAGACTTTCTGTGTGTGTGTGTGTGTGTGACCAATCCATCTTGTTATGCTGGATACAGACTTTCTGTGTGTGTGTGTGTGTGTGTGACCAATCCATCTTGTTATGCTGGATACAGACTTTCTGTGTGTGTGTGTGTGTGTGTGTATGTGACCAATCCATCTTGTTATACTGGATACAGACTTTCTGTGTGTGTGTGTGTGTGACCAATCCATCTTGTTATGCTGGATACAGACTTTCTGTGTGTGTGTGTGTGTGTGTGTGTGTGACCAATCCATCTTGTTATGCTGGATACAGACTTTCTGTGTGTGTGTGTGTGTGACCAATCCATCTTGTTATGCTGGATACAGACTTTCTGTGTGTGTGTGTGTGTGTGTGACCAATCCATCTTGTTATGCTGGATACAGACTTTCTGTGTGTGTGTGTGTGTGACCAATCCATCTTGTTATGCTGGATACAGACTTTCTGTGTGTGTGTGTGTGTGTGACCAATCCATCTTGTTATGCTGGATACAGACTTTCTGTGTGTGTGTGTGTGTGTGTGTATGTGACCAATCCATCTTGTTATGCTGGATACAGACTTTCTGTGTGTGTGTGTGTGTGTGACCAATCCATCTTGTTATGCTGGATACAGACTTTCTGTGTGTGTGTGTGTGTGTGTGACCAATCCATCTTGTTATGCTGGATACAGACTTTCTGTGTGTGTGTGACCAATCCATCTTGTTATGCTGGATACAGACTTTCTGTGTGTGTGTGTGTGTGTGACCAATCCATCTTGTTATGCTGGATACAGACTTTCTGTGTGTGTGTGTGTGACCAATCCATCTTGTTATGCTGGATACAGACTTTCTCTGTGTGTGTGTGTGTGTGTGACCAATCCATCTCCAGTGTTTCTTCCAGACTTTTTTCTCCGTGGGAAGGGCGGACACTGGTAAAAGTATATAGTTGGGATGGGGGTGGTAGACTTTCTCCTGGGAGGGGGTGGCTCAGCCAGTAGATATACCTGGAAGAAACTGTCCATCTCATTTTCTCTGGAGGATCTCCTCTCCAGCTGGCAGATGTTTGTCTGTTGCCATAGTAACTCATTTCTGATCAGAGTTTCTTCCAGCTTCAGAGCCCCCCCCCCCCCCCCCCCCCCGAAAAAAATGTACCGAACGAAATGAAATTTATATAATTTATATAGAAAATATATACTTTTAACAGTGTCCGCCCCCCCCCCCCCCCGAAGAAAGTCTACCGCCCCCACCCCCCGAAAATTTCAAGTGCCCCCCCCCCCCCGGAGAAAAAAGTCTGGAAGAAACACTGTTTCTGATAGTGTTAAACCAGCGTATTCGAAGGATCTTTCTTAGGCATGGGTTTATAAATACTTATTAAAACGCCCCCTTTCACACAAATTAATTACTAAAACATATGTATAAGAAAACATTTAATTAAAAGTGACATATTAATTTATTATTAATTGCATACACGTTATAAGTAGACACCAAAATCAAATTTTACTTGCCTCCTTCGTCTCAAAAGTTTGTACTCATTCCTTCAATTCCAGTTTGCAAGCATAATCACATTTTATTGAAATTGTTGCTAAGTGCACGAGTCTACTTTGTACTTTACATCATAGCCCCCCCCCCCTACCTGCCCCTCCTTCCCCCCTCCCGGGAGAAAAAAGTCTGGGAAAAAACCACTGAATCCAAAAAAGTTCTTGTAGTGTTGGGCTCTCTGCAGTCCTCTCAAGGTGAGTTCCAAAACGGAATTGACCTGTTTTAAGCTGGACTGTCTTTAGTTATAATTGTAAAATGTCCATATCGTGTGATTATTCAACGATTTTTCGGTTTTTGAAAAATAAAAGGTTAAAAATAATATAGATTCCAGCCTAAAATTGTTATATATGAATCCTTTAGGAGAAGGTGAAAAATATGAAAAGACAACTTATTAGATGTTTAATTTATGACTAAGACTGTATGTTTACTAACATTAAGTATTGCAATCTGTAACGGCTACTGATGTATTTGTTTTTCAACTAGATAATGCTAAAAAAACCTACCAAACTATTTTGTTTAGAACTTAAGCTCTATATAATTTTTACAATAGCAAATAATAACTTAAAGTTGTATTTATATGTAAGCGGTCATTTATATGTAAGCGGTCAACCTAAGGTGCAGGAATTTGAAATGAATGTAAAGTTAAGCAACGAATTATCTCCCATTTAAAAATGCAAATACCAAAATTTTATTCAAGGGAAATAATTTTCACAAGAATGGCTAAAATAACCAAGTGTAACTAAGACATGTTTAAAAAACACAATAAAACATTCTAAATTTCATTACGTAATAGTTATAATAATTTTTTTTATATTACCTATGTAACCTTGTAAAAACAATATATTTTACTTATTGAATACTTAACTGTAGGTTTTGTTTGAAAGTCTAAAAACGATAGCTTTATTATAACATACTTCTATTCAATATCGATGACATTCATTTGCAATTGTTTGTGTTTCTTGAGGTAGTCGTTATAAAATTTTGGATCCCCTAAAATTGCCCTAAAATTAAATGAAGGGATGCTTTCAAAAAATCCAACACGGGTAACTGTTTTAGACATTGCTGGAATTATTGATTAAATATAAAAAGAATATAATCTGAAAAAACAAAAAGTTTATGGTTAGATATAATTATAAATTCCATCCTATTTAATATGATATATTAATACCCTAAGAGTGGTAATACAGCTTGCTAAAAAACTAAAGATTTTTCAACTAGAGAACGCCTACCTTTCTTTGTAGTGTATTCCGTACTGAATTGAAATCATCTAACTTACGATAAACTCGACTACTCGATATACTCTACTACATTTACAACACATATCAAACGTTGATACATAAACATAACTAGACTCAGGGGCGGAACTACAGTGCCGCCAGACCCCGCAATGCGGGTGGGGGGGGGGCACTTGATATTTTCGGGGAGACGGTCTACATTTTCTGGGGGAAAATATATATATATATTATGGGGCCCAAAATTTTTTTGCGGGGTGGCCCAATTTCTCTAGTTCCGGCACTGACTAAACTCGATCCTCCAGAACTACGACACCAACTCGTTTAACTTCACCAAGCTCTACAAACGGTACTCCCAATCAACAACGATTTCACTGGACCTACTACTACACTTTAACAGTCAATATAATTCGATACCTTAATATCACAAGAATCGATACTCCGAACTCCAGAACTTCATCACCTGTATAGACCTTCAACTACAAAACAGCCAAATACAAAATTATGACACTTTAACAGTTCGATCAACAGCCTTCCGCCGTTACTCCCAAATCCAAACGATTCATCAAAACTTACCAAACAAGTACAATACTTTGAACACCCCGTCATTACAAAACTCTATACACCAGGACAGATTTCTAATTCAAAGTCAGAGAAAACGAGACTTACAAGCCCTATTAAAATTAGATAACCGTTTGAAGTGCTCGCAATTTAAATGAAGAACTTATTTAATCGTTTTCTACATCAATTATGTGACACCAAATTAAAACGGCAAAGTGACTGGTAAAAAACGCCCCGACCTTTCCAAATTAGGGATGTGGGGTTGCATTTTCACCATCGCGAATAAATATGGGCCTATATATAGACCTAATATTGGGATGGTGTTGCAAAATTGATAGTTCGTCCTGTGTGCCGAAAAAGATCGCTACTCCTTTATAAAAGTTATTAATTATTAGGTACTTTTTGATAATCCCCCCTAGGGATGGCGCCCTAGGCGACTGCCTAGTTCGCCTTATAGGTAGCGCCGGCCATGACTGCGCCACATAAACCACTCCAGTGTTTATTCCAGTATATGTTTTCAATGTAAATGTTATTTCTTTCGGGGGGGGGGGGGGGGGCGGCTCTGTCCCTTCCCCCCCCCCCCCCCGAAGTGATGGACATATTCTTTAACCCGAGTCCGCCCCCCCCCCAGAAAATATAGACCGTCTCCCCAAAAATATCAAGTGCCCCCCCCCCCCCCCCCCCCGCCCCCCATCCCCCTGGAGAAAAAAGTCTGGAAGAAACACAGCGTGTAACTCTTAGAATGAAAGCATTTATTATTCAACTGAGCGAGAAATCTTCTAATTAGGAATAATTATTTAAATCTTCTTTTTATTATTTTCATTCTATATTGTTTATACGACATTTTATTCTCATGATACTCTTAAAACGAATTAATTTGTATAGTAGCTTATTAACATAAAAAAAATCTAATATTGTATTTAAAAAAAAAAGAAGAAAAAACCGTTGGTGGTTATTTCCCTTTAGAAACGGTTCTTGCTTTGTGTTACATGTCAGCATCGCCAAGGGAGACGACATGGTCTCCTTGAAGAAGTCAAGACCGCATGAATGTCTTGAGAGAATTCAACATTCACAGCTGGGGAACGAAGTTTAAGATAATGGTTTACAAACGAATAGGACGGCGTGGTCGGATGGTAAAGGTCACGACTGCTAACATGAATGTCTCGTGTTCGGACCCTCGGATATATATATAGATTCTATATGAGCACCAAGCTATCATCATAGTGCCCCATGTGTATTGGGCACGGACGGAGGAAGATGATGATAATGACGATGATGATGAAGATGAAGATGAATACGAAAGCGCCATTGCTTCCATCACAATCTAAAGGGCGCTTTCGTATTTATCATCATCTTCCTTCACAATCTAATCAGGTGTGGTCTAGCGGTAGAACCCGTGTTTGTTAACCAGAAAGTCCTTAGTTCGGAACTCTGAAATCAAATTGACCTTTAGGAAACTTTAGGCCCATTTATCCTAATAAGACAATGGCTAACCCAACTGTGCAGTTTTCTTTAAATCGGTTCTCCTGAATCTTATCATATCTGTCACTTGTGGTAATGTAACATTTCCACATGACAGCCATGTACAAGATATGTACATATATGTACACATTTCGGATGTCCACGTTGACCCGAACACCCCCCACCCCCTCCCCCCCCCACCAGTTCACACGCGTCCATAAAAGTCAATTTTTTTCGGACCCCCCCCCCCCCACACACACACCCATGTGTTGTGGACGTCATACATGGATGACCCCAAAATTGATAATAGTGTTGGAACCTAAAAAAATAGCAAACTGGCGTTTCGTTAGAGCTATAGCCGACAGAAAACTTAGCTTTATAACGCGTTAAACTTTTGAATGGGCAACATGGTATTCCGTGGAAACCCGCCATGTTTGATGTGAAAATAAGTAAATAAATCAAGAGACATCATTAGACCTGTGACTGTTTTTATTTTTTTATGAAAATAAAGTATTTGTTCTGAACTTTTATAATTAAGGGGTGTTTCTGCAAATGTATATATCAATAAATTAATTAATGCCTTTAAATACATTGGTGTTGAAACAGTTTGGGAAATAAGGAAACTTTTCTCTACGTAAGTACGTATTTTGCAGTTCGACACATAGTTTAGATTCTATCATCTAACGGAACTGAGGGAAAAAAACTTTTAACTTTTAGTATAATATAGATTGTCACACTTTTATCGTAGGCTTCATATAAACTATTCAAACAATGCACCAATTTGCAAGATTTAAATTTTTTTTTGTTGACTTAATCAAATCTAATTAATCACCACATTTTTAACTGGGTCGTTTTATCTGACAAGGTATTTAGGAATCTATAAATAGCCTTTTCAATCCTATTCAGTTTAACACTTTTATTCAACCTTAGTTGTTCCAAGATCCGCCTTGCAGAAAATGAAACTAGTTTTGCTTTTGATTGTAATTGTCGGTGCCGCGATAGCCCAGCAATTATCATTAGGTATGTTTTAATCATTCTTTCATATTTTTTTCTTTCATACTTCATTTCAAGGTGTGGGTTTGGTAGTAGAAGTTCGTTGTCCACAGAATGCAACCATAAATTAATTTTTCGAGCTGTTTAAAAAGCTTGAATTAACTTCAGAGTTTTTCTGTCTAAACTATGTATCAGTGTCTTTGTTTTCCTCTCCCATCCGCCCCATTTTTCCTCAGATTTTAAATTCTTCTAACCATCATCTCACAAAAAAGCTCCCCCACCACCCCCCTCTATGTATATCAACTTTAGATACGCTACCAGGGTTATTTTTCTCCGAGAGGGTAGGGTGTTGGGGTCTTTTTAATCGTGGGGTGGCGGACCTTACTGACATAACCCCCATCCTACACCAGTGTTTCTTCCAGACATTTTTTTTCTCCGGGGTCACTTGAATTTTTCGAGGGAGGGGGTGTGGGTGGGTGGTGGAAAGCTGATTTAAATTTCTAAGGCAGGGGGGGGGCACTGGTAAAAGTATATAATTACTATATACATTTTATATACATATTATATACATTATTTTATATTGTCTGATGAATTAACATGTAAACCCTCACAGGGGATTGGATCCACTTAGAAGTTGAAACCATTATGGCCATTAACCCTAACCTGACCATAGCTGAGTGCACCACGATGTGTGACGATCTTTTCCGCCTCCAAAATATCGCCGACGAGACTGTAACTGACAATTTGTGTCACCATGCTTGCGAGTGGTAATATTCATAACATAATATTGTGGTTGGAGATTTTTTCTGTTATTGTGTCAGTTATGTCCAACATATTATTTTCTAGCTCGAAATATTTGTTGTATCTTATAATAGCCTAATTAAGCAGGTTTTGAGACCATGCAAGGTGTGCCACTGTGAAAAACATCACGTTACTGTTGTTTATAGTTTACTAGCGAGCCCGCCCCCGCGCTTTGCCGCGGGGTTAGAAGAAAGTCTGATGAAATACATTAGGATGGTTTCATCATTGCGTTACCAATTATATATTCTTAAACGTGCGACCTTGTTTTCTAAAACTGAGTTATTTAAATGTAAGCAATGCCTGCGATTGGAGTATATTTGTTGGGGCACGGGATTACCAATACTACCGCTCAGCATGCGTGCTGTATGAAAGCCTTGAGCGTACGTTAATCACCCACAGCAATAGTGCGGTAGAACACACTTCGGCGATCATCTAGGTGTCAGGGACGTATAGTCTCGTAAGCCCCTAGTACACCACCACTGCAGGGGGGCGCGTACTGCCCCTGGCTCTGTTTAAATAATCAAATGTCAATATTGTAGGCTCGGTTTAATCATCAAATGTCGTTTGCCGCCTTGTTAATAGTGTAGGGTGCTTCTTAAAACGAACGTAGGCGCCATAGTGCTCACAGGATAGCGCAGGGCGCCAAATGGCATCCTGCCGTTGTGCCAGCGGACGCGCCTAATTCACTTTAGTAAGCGACTATTATGTCTAATCTTATCCACTAGGCATGCTGCCCAGCTTCGCTTAGGCTTTCGAAAACATTGAGAATTTGCATGCTTAATTAATTCGCCCGAGGGTCGGTCTACGACCTCAAGAGTTATGAAGAGGTTTAATCCGTGGACATTTTTTTTCGATTTATAGCTCATATAAGGTACCGGTCAGTCGAGGTCAGTTTTGACCCCCTCATCGTAGACTTTTCGGCCAACCGGCCCCCGTGTTCTGTCGCCCCAAGGCAAGATCCTGCCAAATTTGAAGCGCCTGCGGCGCCGGGAAGTGCCCTATCGGACACCCGACAATCTAGATCTAGATCTAGATTCCTAAAAGAATTTTTTTTTAAGTTTAGCCCGAGCATAATAAAAATAAATACATTAACCAAGTTGACTTGGTGTGTCTCGAACCCGCACCACCTGCGTGGTTTAATGTACACTAACATCTTCGCTATTTAGGCAGATGACGTCAATAGTTAATGTATAAGCAATAGTGACGTCACAGTTTTATGCGTTCTTTTTCACATATATTAATGCTTTTCCGGTTGCATAAATAATACTGTTTCTCTACATTCGAATACGCCTTAAATTTTTATTTTTCTTCTTTAAATAAAATTGTGGTTATACATTTAAAACATCTAACATATTATTTTCAACAAAAGTCCGTAAAAAATTCTCGATATATCGCTGCCGATTCTGACGTGATGTCCGGCGAAAATTTTTTGCGGACAGAGAAAGAGAGAGAGAGAGAGAGAGATGTGCGCACATTGGGCTTTTATAAATTAGGATTGTCTATTACACTGTTTAGAACGAACGTAGGCGTCATTGCACTCACGGGAAAGCCTTGGGCGCCATATTGAACACTGCAGGGGCCGGGGGACGCACCTTGTTTGATATAGACAACGATTATTGTTGCCCATCGTGTCTTTTGTGTATAGCCTTTTTTGTAAGCGAACGTAGGCGCCATAGTGATAGCAGGGGAGCCCGTGGCGCTGCGGGTCGTGCAATCTACAGGGCGCCAGCGGTTGCGCCGGTTGAAGTTTTAACGCTGAATATAGTAGTATACCTTATCCGCTATGCAGGGCGCACGATTAACGGATGCTACGTGCTATCATAGCCGCTCTGGTACTCTGGTCGCCAAATTGTGTATTGACGAAAATCGCACTCTCTCGGGCGCCGCTCATATCAAATTTTAATTATTCTGTTCACAGAAACATTCTCGGGAGGGAGTATTCTCATCAACTCCCCAAAATTTTATAACACATGGATGAACGGTGTCGAACCGAATCCGACTTTTATTTTTTATATACTGTATATAGAGAAAAATCGCACCCTCCCGGGGCGCTGCCCTTACGAAATTAAGAAAATATTTTTTGCAGAACCCTTTCCTGGAGATCTGATCAACTCCCCAAAGCTTGATGGCGATCGGATGAACGGTGTGAAACTGAAATAGAATTTGAAATTTTATTTTTTGCAGAAACCTCCCCAGGAGTATTCACAACAACTTCCCAAAGTTTCATGACGATGTGAATAAAGGTGTAGCAATGCATAATAGACTGACAGACAGATAAACACGCAGACAGACAGTACGGACGGACAGACAGACAGACCGATCTAGCTATATATAAAAAAGCAATGTATGTGTGTATGTGTCTGTCTGTCTGTCTGTCAATATATCTATACATTTATCTAAAGTCGTTGGGTGGGTACGCCCCATCTAGTGAGGTAGAAATATTGCATTTAAAATGCAAATTGTAACTTATACAGCAAAACAAGACCAAACAAAATTCAAACTATGTAAATTTGATAGTCTAAAGTACTCTAAAGTTATACATTTACCTATAAGATTAAGACACTGGTGTTTGTATTTTAAAATTCCCTCTGTGCCAATGATGTTTCAATACAGGTAATTAATGCATATCTAACTAATGTAGCTTTACCGCATCTCTTGTTTTCTGTCATTATATTACTTTCCTTTCAACAGCGAAATTGACAACAACTGTGATGACCACACCCACCCTCCACATCCCACAAATGAGCCTGTTCAAACATCACGCCCTTGAGGAAAATGATGTACCAACACCGTTGATCGGTACAATAAAATAAAAAAAAAACCCCTGCAAAACTGGTTTTGTTCTGTTTGTTTGTGGTTAATTATCCGTAAAATGTGTCTAAACAATATTAAAATAATGCGTTGTTTAAATATTGGTTCTAGTTGACGTCTACGTTTTGAATCTTAAAATATGAACTTTCTTACTTTTGTAAAAATTGTAGTCTTTTAAAGTTGATTGGCTTAATCGTTTTAAACACAATAAGCAGAGTTAAAGTTAATAAAAAATAATACATTATCTCCTAACTCGTGTTTATTAAGCTGTTTTTTTTTCACCTATATATTGAACACCACTTAACTTAACTTACTTTCAATCAACATTTCGGCCTACATTTGTAGGCCACCACCCACCCTTAAGCTCGTCTACGAAATAGAATTTGTATATAAAATATATTTTTACCAGTGTCCGCCCCTCCCCAGAAAATTTTGCCCACGACCCCTCCGAAAATTTTAAGTATTTCTCCCCCGGGGGGGGGGGGGGGGGGGAAGAGTAAGTCTGAAAGAAACACTGGTCGTATTTGTAGATCATACAGACTAAAGGTAGACCCTACTACTATAATATAGACACGTTACATACTTTTGGCCGCTAAAAATCAATCATAAAAATACTTTTGTTCTACATTTTAAAAAAAAATATTTTATTCTCATGATGCTCATAACTGATAACTCACGCAGAGGCTTAACGCCCCTTCCCGACGCCCGGGGCGAACTTTCAATATGGCGCCCCCCCCCTCCACGCTTATATATATACGCGTTTTTGTATGTGTGTGTGTAAGCGACAGTACGGAAAAGGTTTAATAATTACAGTGTATGCTTTTCGTTCCTTAAAACTTTACGCCAATTAAATTCCCATTAAGATGCGTTTTCCTTTTACAAAAGATTAGTAATGTCAGAAATAAAAATATGCCTGTTCTGAGTTAGAGGGTGGTTTGTAGCAAACGTTAATTTGTTTAGACCAGCCTTTTATGTTTTATTTTTGGAACGATCTCTGTTGGATTATTAGTTTATTATATTAAGGAAATACAAGTGACATACACGAGCAGCTTATCTGAAACATTTATTGTACGCATTGGAATACGACATGAGTATTTCGTTGACTGATTTATGGTATAACGAAACAAGCTTGAGGAAACAAACTGGAATCCAACGGCTGTTAACAGCTCAAAGTCTTGGATTTTGCAGATGTGCGCTGCCTTCTCGCACACAATCAACAACAAATACAGAACTAATTGTACTGGTTGAAGAAGCAGTAATAACCAGTTCAATGATAGTGGCATCGCCCATGACTTTCTGATTATAATCAGCAGCAAAAAAAACGACTATTTTACTGTATGGCTGGGAGCTAGATTAAAGACAGTGTAGAATGAAATAAGAGCATGGAAAAGGTGGTGGTTAGGGCACAATATCTGTAAATAACATTACCAAGCAGGTGCTGGTGTAAAGTCCACGGGGAAAGAGGAAGACAAGGAGAAAAAAAATGTCTGAAGAAAATCGTTTGAACTAGAGAATGGGGAGGCTGGATTATTAGGTTCTATCTTCATAAAAATCAAGTGAGTTGACGAAGTGTTGCCTACGCCAATGCTCCTTAGGAAATCGAAAAAAAAGAAGAAAATCACACGAGCTTAGAGTAGTGGTTCTTAACTTGGGTTCGATCGAACTCAAGAGGTTCAGTATGTAAGTCTCAGAGCTCTCGGTATGTTAGTCTCAGAGCTCTCGGTATGTTAGTCTCAGAGCTCTCGGTATGTTAGACCGCAGAGCTCTCGGTATGTTAGTCTCAGAGCTCTCGGTATGTTAGACCGCAGAGCTCTCGGTATGTTAGTCTCAGAGCTCTCGGTATGTTAGTCTCAGAGCTCTCGGTATGTAAGTCTCAGAGCTCTCGGTATGTTAGACCGCAGAGCTCTCGGTATGTTAGTCTCAGAGCTCTCGGTATGTTAGACCGCAGAGCTCTCGGTATGTTAGTCTCAGAGCTCTCGGTATGTTAGACCGCAGAGCTCTCGGTATGTTAGTCTCAGAGCTCTCGGTATGTTAGTCTCAGAGCTCTCGGTATGTTAGACCGCAGAGCTCTCGGTATGTAAGTCTCAGAGCTCTCGGTATGTTAGTCTCAGAGCTCTCGGTATGTAAGTCTCAGAGCTCTCGGTATGTTAGTCTCAGAGCTCTCGGTATGTTAGTCTCAGAGCTCTCGGTATGTTAGTCTCAGAGCTCTCGGTATGTAAGTCTCAGAGCTCTCGGTATGTTAGACCGCAGAGCTCTCGGTATGTTAGACCGCAGAGCTCTCGGTATGTTAGTCTCAGAGCTCTCGGTATGTTAGTCTCAGAGCTCTCGGTATGTTAGACCGCAGAGCTCTCGGTATGTTAGTCTCAGAGCTCTCGGTATGTTAGACCGCAGAGCTCTCGGTATGTTAGTCTCAGAGCTCTTGGTATGTTAGTCTCAGAGCTCTCGGTATGTTAGACCGCAGAGCTCTCGGTATGTTAGTCTCAGAGCTCTCGGTATGTTAGACCGCAGAGCTCTCGGTATGTTAGACCGCAGAGCTCTCGGTATGTTAGACCGCAGAGCTCTCGGTATGTTAGACCGCAGAGCTCTCGGTATGTTAGACCGCAGAGCTCTCGGTATGTTAGACCGCAGAGCTCTCGGTATGTTAGTCTCAGAGCTCTCGGTATGTTAGACCGCAGAGCTCTCGGTATGTTAGTCTCAGAGCTCTCGGTATGTTAGACCGCAGAGCTCTCGGTATGTTAGTCTCAGAGCTCTCGGTATGTAAGTCTCAGAGCTCTCGGTATGTTAGTCTCAGAGCTCTCGGTATGTTAGTCTCAGAGCTCTCGGTATGTAAGTCTCAGAGCTCTCGGTATGTAAGTCTCAGAGCTCTCGGTATGTTAGTCTCAGAGCTCTCGGTATGTTAGTCTCAGAGCTCTCGGTATGTTAGTCTCAGAGCTCTCGGTATGTTAGTCTCAGAGCTCTCGGTATGTTAGTCTCAGAGCTGAGGTCAGGACACACATCTAACATATGATTCACGATACGATTTTGTCAATGTGGACGATAAAACTATTAAGAAGGGTTCGGTGAAGGCGCATATGAAACTGGTAGGGTTCGGTACCTAGAAAAAGGTTAAGAACCACTGTATTAGAGTGTAGTTTGTATAAGTTGTGATCTTATTTGGTCTACATTTGGTTGTCTTTAGAACAATTTCGATAATAGTTTATTATAGTTTTAAATTATCAGTTAGGTTGAAAAAAGTGACAAAGCATCACCTGTTGTCGTGTTGTACAACTGTTTCACATCGTTTAGTGGGTCTAGTGGCCTTAACTATATGAAAATAGCAGTATTAAAACTTGTTATGAAACAAGCAATAAAAAATGATATATTTGGTACAATATATTTTTTTTAAGCTGTTAAAATTTAGGCAAGGGTATCGACTTCCGCCCACCCGCTCCGACCGTATGTTATTTTACTTATCGGATAGCGGTTTAAGAATCCGTGTTATTTATTTCTCTTTAATACAGTGATCCAGGCAAGATGTAATGCAATCAAGTAAAAATATCTGATCTCTAACGTTGAAGCTGAAAGAATCGTAAGAATCTTACACAAAAATTTAAAAAAAAAAAACGTTTTTATTACAAGTATTTATGTAATAATGCACTGAAAAGTAGAAAATAAATTATACACTACGATTTAAATAACTATAAAGTACCTATTGGTTACCTTTACTAATATTTGAGAAGAGACCCACGCTTTTCTTTATAGTTATTTAAATGGTAGTTATAATTTATTTTCTACTTTTTAGTGCATTATTACATAAAAGCTTGTAATTAAAACGTTTTTTATGAATTTTTTTTCAGTAGGCCTACTTTACATGTTTTATTTAAAATAGAGTTACATGACTAAAAAACATTGCGCGCCTATTGAACGTGATGACGCGTGTGGAGTAATTGGATAGAACTGCCTACTAATTTGGTCAAGATGTTAATTAATTCCAAAAAAATTAACTAGGTATCCAATTAAGTCAAATTTAATGTCATAATGCATTGTCTTCATGTCTTGGCCCCACGTTCCAACTACGAACGGTATCTGCCAGTTAGAAGTGCCAGTAATTTCGCTCGGCCGTTTCGATCTAGACAGACTGACGACTGACGAGGGAGTGAGTTAAATAAAAGCTTGTAAAAAAAAATTCATAAAAAAAAACGTTTTAATAACAAGCTTTTATGTAATAGTGCACTAAAAAGTAGAAAATAAATTATAGACTACTATTTAAATAACTAGAAAGAAAAGCGTGGGTCACTTTAGTATCTATTGGATACCTTGCCTTTAATAATGTTAAGGAAGACACCCACGCTTTTCTTTCTAGTTATTTAAATAGTAGTCTATAATTTATTTTCTACTTTTTAGTGCACTATTACATAAAAGCTTGTTATTAAAACGTTTTTTTATGAATTTTTTTTTCTGTACTTTACATGTTTTATTTACAATAGAGTTATATGACTAAAAACCATTGCGCGCCTACTGAACGTGATGGCGCAGCCATTGAACGTGATGGCGCAGCTATTGAACGTGATGACGCGTGTGGTGTGGTTGGATAGACATGCCTATTAATTCGGCCCAAATTTTAATTAATTCATAAAAAATTAATTAGGCATCCAATTAAGTCAAATTTAATTTCAGATTGCATTGTCTTCATGTCTTGACCCACGTGCCAAGTGTGAATCGTATCGATCAAGTAGAAGTTTCCGAATTTTCACTCCGGCGTTTCGGTTTAGACAGACAGACTGTCGAGGAAGTGAGTTAAATAAAAGCTTGTAAAAACAAATTCATAAAAAACGTTTTAATAACAAGCTTTTATGTAATGATGCACTAAAAAGTAGAAAATAAATTATACACTACTATTTAAATTACTATAAAGAAAAGCGTGGGTCACTTTAGTACTTTAGTACCTATTGGATACCTTTACTAATATTTGAGAAGAGACCCACGCTTTTCTTTATAGTAATTTAAATAGTAGTGTATAATTTATTTTCTACTTTTTAGTGCATCATTACAT